TCTTTTTTAATGTGAAGATCAATCAGATTAAATGTTGAATACAAACTAAAAAGGAGCATCATACCAACTCATCAGCTCACTTGAACTTCTCCCCTAATTTGAGTGGTAGGAAGCCCACTTTCCAGGATTCAAGAGGAAGTTCACCCAGATTCAAGTCCCTTTGGAGACGGGGGCATTGGCCCTTTATGTGTCAATAAATTGAGATAAGTATGAATAGATACTACGTTATAACTGAGTCAATAGCACTAAAAAAAACTCCTCGATTTAGTCTAGTCATTAACAAAACGAGCCAAAACATGAGCAACGTTGTTTATAGTGCCCCGAATATGAGAAATGCCACAACTACCAAAAGAAAGCATTAAAAATTCACATTCAAAGAGAAAAAGCCTCACATAAGAACGATCTAAAGGATGCCGATTCAAAGCATTATAAAAACTACTTTAAAAATGTTAATGAATTTTTTATAACAATTCCACTCATTTTAATATTTCAAAATTACATGGAATATAATTTTCTAATACGTCGAAATAGAAAGCAACAGTACAACAAGCATGTATCTCATCCATTCCCGGCCCACTGTGAAAACATCAGTCTCCAAGCCCACAAGAAGAGAAACTCTTCTTAAATCTACACAAGCATGTATCCCATCCATCCATAGACCAAAATGTTGGCAAGTCAAGTGTGGATCTTCCTTTCAACAGGTCAATTAAGAAATTCACAAGTGTTCCTTTCTTAACAAAAACTCCGACACGCCAGAATATGTCAAAGACAATGTCCCTGACCAAATTATGCTAATACTTAAACTTGGATATCTCTCTACAATGTACTGCATGCTCCCCAAATGGATTCAAACATGCCTTGTGACAAACAAGACATATCTCATCAACCGAAAATAAAACTTCCTAAAAAATGTTTTTCTTCTAAAACTATTAATAAGAACGATCTGTATGACCCTTTATAAAAGTGTCTTTAAAATATTTTTCTTTTAAAAATATCCATAAAAAAGTTAATGATGAAACTACCATCCATCTACCTACCTTAACAACATTTGAATTATACTCTCTTCGTCTCATAACATTTATACAATAAAAGTTCATTATGAAACTATCATCCATCTACCCACCATAAAAATGTCTAAATGATACTCTCTTCGTCCTTGAATATTTATTTAGGTTTGAATTTTTGCAATCAATCGAAATAATTTTTTACTTATATCCTAATGAAAATTACGGAGTACATGGTATATCAATTAGATAAAAGCATATTTTGGAATTATTTTACAAGATAAATCTAATAAAATTATTTTTGTATCAATATATCTAATATAAAATTTGTTTAACTAATAATAAAAATTTATCAATTAAGACTGCAAAAAATTTAAAACTAGATAAATATTTAGGGAGGATAATAGCATTGTTATCTTCAGTGGTTTACCAAAGGAGCATCAAAATTCTTTCTAGTTTGAAAAATTATTTGTACGAACCGTGAAAGAATTTCCATCATCTCCGATGGAGCCAAAATTTCACCATTTTTTGGCTTTGGGGTGTGATGGAATAAATCAAAATGGATTTCTAAACTGTCTGCGCTTCTTTAATTAATGAAGTAGCAGTTAGTCAAGCAATGCAACTTTCGACGTTGAGCCGGGGGTCTCTTTGGAAACAGTCTCTCTACTTTCGAGTAGGGGTAAGGTCTGCGTACACACACCCTCCCCAGACCCTACTCTTGTGGGATTTAACTGGGTTGTTGTTGTTGTTGTGGTATGGTTTCTAATTTGTGCGTACATACACACATACACACCCTCCCCCAAACGGCCAAACCCATTTTAAAAATTAAGATGACATCTATGCCCCTTCTCTCCTTCTACCATGATGTTTCACTCTGTTATTTTCAAGAAATTTCAACTTATTTATTTTTATATTTAAAATATTGCTTTTGGCACTTAAAGAAATGAAATAGGAAAAGATGTTCTTTAAATTTTTTCTTTTATTACTGTTTTCGATTTTTATCTTTTACTTCGTACAGAGTATATTAATTATTTTCTTTTGTATTGTTCTCCATTTTTAAAAAATTAAAGAAAGGAATTTTATTTTATTTGAGATGGAGATCGTATATGCTATTTTATTTATTTGTATAAATAAGAAAATTTGAAAATTAAAGACTGAAATTTTATGATAGAGGGATAGAAGGGACATAAATGTCATTTTAATTTCAAAAATAGATTAGAAGGGGCATGCGTGTACTAATCAGAAACCATATGAGTTTTATAAATACTTCTTCAGTCCCAATTTAAATTGTCTGTTTTAGTTTACGATGTTTGACCTGAAATTAATTTCAATTCATTTTATATGAAAATTGATGTGAAATTTAAAAATAAAATTTATATATTTAAAAACTATATCAAAAGTTCGACAAAACAAAAGGTGACATGACTATATTATTTTATCAAATGAGTAACGAAAACGGATAATGGAAGTGGTTAAAGTTTGACTTTGTTAATAGTATATATGCAATTTAAATTAAGACAAAGATAGTCATTTTTAAAAGTAGAGGAGATTTTGGTGCCTATGTTGTAAACCTCAGGGAGTAATCATGTTATTAGCCCATATTTTGGGAAGGAAGTAGTATATTCAAGTTGCTCTCGAAGCCGATTAGTTATGGTATTGATGTATGCCTCTGGTCTTTTATTGACTTTTTTCTTCTCGTCTTGACTTATACCCTCTCATCCATGATTAGTCAATTACCATCATTTCCTTGTTCTTTACTCTTCTGAAATCACAATTTAGAAGAACTAGATAGACCCTAAGGAAAGCATATAGAAACTTGTTACTGATTATTCGTTATATAGTAAAGACTTGCATGTATTTCCATAATCATAAAGTTTACATGTAAAATGTTGATTTTCTCATACTTTTTATAGGTCGACATGAGAATTTTTATTTTTTTCAAAGAGCACAATTTATTTATTATATTTATATACTAAGGTCCATAAAATGAGTATGAACCTTAAGAACAATAGAAGTATTTACATATAGTAAATCGTAAAACCTTCATTGAAATCTCTAAAAAGATCCAAATTTAATTACAGAATAATTGTTAATTGTTGAAATTATATATGATTTTCAGATTCTCTTAACTACTTATTTTCTGAAAATGATAAAATCGGAAAATTGAATACTTCCTCCGTTCTTAAATAAACTTTTCATTTTCTTTATTTGTCTGTGTATAAATTATCTTTTCGTTTACTTTTTTGGCAAATACATTTTTTTTAAACCATCCTTACTATCATCACTTTTATCAATTAATTATGATTCCTACATATACTTTATTTCACTTTTTGAAATGACCCAAGAATAATTTTGGAAAGTCAAATTTTTTTACTTTTTCTTAATTTGCTTTTAAAATCAAAGCGATAATTTTATTTATGAATAGAGAGAATATAAGCTTATTTTAGAAAAAAATTAATATGCGAGGGGAGGAGTAGATGAATAAGTCAAATCACTTCAACATCATCTTTTATGGCCTCTAGCTTCAGTTTGACTCCTCCCCAATTCCATCCCCATTCGTTGAAAGTGGTCGCCAAATTATCAGACACACATCACATCATCAAATTATTTTAAGAGGACAAGAAAGTCATTTGAGAAGGAGAGTATGCAGATGAATTAGTTAAAAATTTTATTTAGTCGATCCTAATAAAAATTAAGGTTATTAAAAAGACCAAGCAAGAGTCTTTTTTAAGTAAATAAAAATGAGTCATGCTCGAAAAACCACCAAATTTGACACCAAGAATTTTATACTCCGTATCAAGTACTCTCTCTGTCTCCCAAAGATCTTCCTAATAGCCTTTTTTCTTTGTCCACAATAGATCTTCTCATTTCATTTTTTAATAATTAAAATACCACAACTACCCCTACTTACTTTATTTATTACACCTCACCCACCTCATTTAATACACTCCACCCATTTTTCATTAAGGGTATTATGGTAAACTTTCACCTTTTTTCAACTCTCCTTAAAAATCACCAAAAGTCAAAATGAGAACATCTTAGGGGGACGGAGGGAGTATTTTATAGACATATAAACAAAACAATACGAGTATATCATTACAAATTTAATTTCTCCTTACATATAAAAAATAATGCCATAGTTATTATTTTGGTCTTTCTATAATTTTTATTTGTTTACTCATTTTTGCATTTAATAAAATAAAATATTCTTGTACTTTTTATTTATCTTCCAATTTGTAAATAAAATGATTTTAAAAGATATAAAACTTTACATATTGTTTGAAATTTGATAAATATTTTAGGGAGGGAGTAAGAATTAAACACTCAAAAAGGTGAGGTCCTTGTCCACAGCTCACTCTGATTGAGAAAGGACTATATTTACTACTCCTTCCTTCCCAAAGCTTTCTTGTTTGAAAAAATGCGTTTTTAAAATTAGTAATTTTGGTGTTATTTTTTTAATTAAGACTCATCTATGCTGTACATCACATCCTATTTTATTGTAAAGGCAAAATTAAAAAATAATATCAAAATTACTCATTTTAAAAGTGTGCTTCTTTTCAAACAAGAAGTGTTTTATAAGACAAAAGGAGTATAAATATTGCCTTCGTATCAAATTAATTTGCTTATTTTGACTTCATGAAGATTAAGAAAAGATGTCGAATTGTAAAAAATTTAGTGGTTACAAAAAATAAAAAATTATTTAGAGACGGATTAAAAAAAAAGTGAAGATTTTTGTGGAACACATGGGGTGTACTCCGTATCAACTAATTTTGGGAAGGCGGTGGTTGAGATGCAATGAATTGACTGATAAAGTATAACACAAAGTATTTCTGTCAAACATATGGGATTTTTTTTAGTACTCAGCAATAAATAAAACAGTGAAAATGAATATGAGTGTAAGGCCAAGAGGGGTTGTGTACTTACTCCTTCCATCCTGCAAAGATTGTCCAACTTTGATTTTGCGGAAATTATATATAAAAAAAATTGAAAAGTGAAAATGTGTCAATAATTTATTTAGAAGCGAGAGAAATAATGCGAGCTATTTATTCCTTTCATAATGAAAGAAAACAGAGAAGCAGAAAAATCTTTGTAAGACGGATGGAGTATATCATTTGAACATAAAAAGCCACTCTCACTCACTTGAGCAGTTCTCAAGCTAACCATCTGAATAGAGCAGAGGACAATGGCTTCTTCTTTACATTCTTTACTTGGTGAGTTTCTCTTCAATAACAGTGAACTTCATGTTTTATTGTGCTTAAACTTCACATGGTCTTTGGGAAATGGTACATTAATGAGTTCCAAAAACTACTGGATAAATAATAATCAATGTTATGCTGATGGTTCATGTTTGTAGCGTTAATGACCCTAAATGTGATTCATGCTACTAATGTGATTTTCATATTTGGCTATGTACCTACTGGTATGACAGGGGCATTTTCTTGTATCTGTGGAGGAGAACTCCATTGGGGCTCATTGTGCATCCATAGAGCTTTGGTTGATGCCTTGACTATATTCTTAGCATTTGTGTACTTTCTGGCCTTGCTTGGATGTCCTACAATGAGGATTAACATTAGAGAATCCAGAAGGTCTGCTTTCCATTTTGTGGTATCCCTTTGCTGTGCCCTTATGAGCGTAGCGTATCTCGGTGCCACTCTTTGCAAACTTATCACTGAAAATCATGATTTTCATTCTCTAAGTTGGTTGCCATACTTCATAAAAGGAGTGATTTGGATTGCCTTTACCTTCTCCTTGCTTGTTCAAGGATCCAAAGTAGTCAAATTTTTCGTATCTAGTTGGTGGGTTGTTTCCTTTCTGTTGATTTCCTCTCTGAACATTGAAGTTTTGGTCAAAACCCATACCATCCATATTATGGATGTGATCACTTGGATCCTTACCTCATTGCTTCTCTTTTCCGCTCTGACCAACTTCCGTCTTCTCATTCTTTCTAAACATGTTTCTGTGAAGACTTTGTCTGAACCTCTGTTAGTTGTTGAGCAATCTGATGGTGAGAGCCATGCTAGTTTCTTTAGCAAATTGTCATTTTCTTGGATGAACCACATGGTCCGGTTAGGCAAGTCAAAAACACTACTTCTTGAAGACATTCCCTGTTTAGCATCAGAAGATGAAGCAAAGTTGAACTATGATAAACTGTGTCATGAGTGGGAGAATAGCTCCAAAGGTTCATTAAACTTGGTTCTAAAAGCTATATCAAGAAGGTACTGGAAAGAATTGATGCTTGGGGGAGTCTATGCACTTCTCAGGACGACTGCTGTTCTGATTTCTCCACTCCTGCTCTATGCATTCGTGTCATATTCAAATCTTGAGAGTAAAGAGCTCTCCAAAGCTCTTCTGCTAGTTGGGTGCTTGATTCTTGACAAGGTTCTTGACGCACTGTCCAGCCGGCATTTCTATTTCTACTCCAAGAGGGTAGGAATGAGAATCAGATCAGCTCTAATAGCGGCGGTTTTTCAGAAACAGCTCAAGCTTTCAAACCGAGGCAAGCAAAGGCATTCAACAGGAGAGATTGTGAATTATATTGCAATTGACGCATATCGGATGGGGGAATCTGTAATGTGGTTTCACATTGGTTGGACTTCCGTTCTGCAAATCTTTCTGTCTGTTGCAGTGCTCTTTTGGGTGGTTGGTCTTGGTGCCGTTCTCGGTTTAGCCCCTCTTGCTATCTTTGGAGCTCTTAATGCGCCATTCGCAAAGATAATCCAAAAGTGCCAGTCTGAATTCATGATTGCCCAAGACAAGAGACTAAGGTGCATTTCTGAGATCTTGAACAGTATGAAGATTATCAAGCTTCAATCGTGGGAAGAAAACTTCAAGAATGCAGTCAAATCCTATAGGGATATTGAATTAAAATGGTTAACAAAAGCTCAATTGTGCAAGACAGTGAGTACCTTTTTGTATTGGGCATCTCCCACAATCATCTCATCTGTTGTATTCTTAGGGTGTGTCATCTTCAACAGTGCTGCATTTGATGCTGCCACAGTGTTCACTGTCTTGGCAGTATTAAGGGTCATGTCAGAACCCGTTAGGCTGTTACCAGAAGCTCTTTCTATCATAATTCAGTCTAAAGTTTCCCTTGATAGGATAAATTCTTTCCTGTTAGAAGATGAGATTAAAAGAGTGGATGTTACCCGATCTCCGGTTGGACGTTCAGAGAATAGTGTAAGTGTAGTGAATGGCTGCTTCAGCTGGGAATCAGAGCCTTTACTTAGAAACATAAATGTTCAAGTGAGAAGGAGTCAGAAAATTGCAGTCTGTGGAGCTGTTGGAGCAGGAAAGTCATCACTTCTCTATGCTATACTTGGAGAAATACCTAAAGTTTCAGGAACTGTAAGTTATAGACATTCAAATAATGTACTCCGTAGTTTACTTGGAAAATATCTCAAGTGTGTTTCTATGTGATACGATGTCTGCCTTTCAATTTCCGTAAAAATTAGTCCTAGCCTTTACAAGGGCATTCTTGGCACTGTATTGCCAAAATGATCCCTCAATACTAAACGGTGGTTTTAACATGAGAGACTGAAATACTGATTGTATCTCAACAAAAATATCAAACAATTAAGGGACTAAAACAGCAACTTTCCCTAGTTTAACTTGATGTTGCAGAGGTTTTTTCTTTCTTTCTTGAAACTAAATCCAGGTGAACGTGTTTGGCTTAATTGCTTATGTGTCACAAGCTTGCTGGATCCAGAGCGGGACGGTTCGTGATAACATACTGTTTGGGAAGCCAATGGACAAAGGCAGATATGAAGAGGCGATAAGAGTGTGTGCTCTAGACAAAGACATCGACAGCTTCAGCTATGGTGACTTGACAGAGATAGGGCAGAGAGGACTGAATATGAGTGGGGGACAGAAACAGAGAATTCAGTTGGCTCGAGCCGTTTACAGTGATGCAGACATTTATCTTCTAGATGACCCTTTCAGTGCTGTTGATGCACATACTGCTTCATTTCTTTTCCATGTAAGAAATCTAATCCAACTCAGATAAACATATATGCTTATTTGATTATTAATTGCACTTGAATGCAATTGCAGGAATGTGTTATCAATGCATTGAAGACGAAAACTGTCATTCTTGTCACCCACCAAGTAGAATTTCTCTCTGCCGTTGATCACATTCTGGTAATTAATGATATTTGTTGTAAACAGTCCCTTGGGTATATAATCGATTGGATTCATTCTTTTAGTGTGGCTTTGACTCATGTGCTTGTGTGGATGAGTGGCTCGACCCAAAAGTGATTTGAAGTTTAATATATCTAGGTACTGGAAGAAGGAGAAATTAGTCAATCAGGATGCTATAATGAGCTGCTGATGAGCGGGATGTCCTTTGAACAGCTCGTGAATGCTCATGAAAGTGCAGTAAATGCGTTTGATCCGCTGGTGAACAAGATTGATGATAGAACTCAGAAAGAGCATACAACTGGTGGGGGGCGTGAAGAGGTTAAAATGGACTACTTAGTAAATGAAGAAAATTGTCAGATTTCGTTGAAGGAAGGGGCTCCTCAGCTAACAGAAAATGAGGAGAGGGATCCGAATGAATCTGTGTGGAAGATATTCATGGATTACATTTTGATTTCCAAAGGATCCCTCTACATGATACTAAACATTGTAGGTCAAATTAGTTTCGTGGTTTTGCAGGCTGCAGCAAGCTATTGGCTAGCAGTTTCCATTCAAAGTCCCAAAATCAGTCGTTTTATGATCATTGGAGTTTTTACTTTGCTTTCTCAGCTAAGTACACTCTTTGTGTATCTCAGATCCCTATTTGCAGTCCTCCTTGGAGTCAATGCTTCAAAAGCCTTTTTCTCTGGTTTTTTAGACTCTGTTTTCAAGGCTCCCATGCTTTTCTTCGACTCTACACCAGTTGGACGGATATTAACTCGTGTAAGATGAAGGCATATGCATTTCCCTATCATATACATATGCACATATGTTTTGGGATGTTTTTTTTTTTAATAGTAAGTTTCTGTTTTTTCCCTCCCACTTCAGGCTTCTTCAGACCTGAGTGTATTGGACTTTGACATCCCTTTCGCATATGTTTATGCATCGTCTGCTGGGATAGAATTGGTTGCAATAATTATTATTATGGCCTCCATCACATGGCAGGTTCTCATTGTAGGCATCATAGCTATTGTTGCCGCCAAATATGTCCAGGTCAGATATCTTCTCCTAACAATGTCTTTTAAAGGAGAGCCTAGGTGGGCCCAAGAAGAGCGTAGTGTCTACGCAGGGGTATATTCAACAGTGTCTAGTATTGTATAATGTCATACTTTCCCACATAGTCACCATCAGAAAAACATAAAGATAGAAACCAACATCTAAAACATAGGACTACTATGAGAATGACTAGTTAAGATTGAACCCCTAGTGTTAATATATAATCCCCCTCCCTTCAGTTGTTTCTCATGGCGTCTGTGTTTGGGTGAAGGAATACTATCAACCCACAGCAAGGGAACTGATGCGGATCAATGGGACAACAAAGGCTCCACTAATGAGTTATGCAACCGAGACATCACTTGGTGTTGCCACAATAAGGGCATTTGATATGGCAGACATGTTTTTCCTCAACTATTTGAAACTAGTTGATGCAGATGCAAAAGTCTTTTTCAGCTCAAATGGAGCTATGGAGTGGCTGGTTTTGAGATCGGAAACACTCCAAAATCTCACCCTTTTCGTAGCTGCTTTCCTCCTAATTGCAGTTCCATCGCGTTTTCTCCCTTCAGGTACTAAGGGTCCATTTAGATCCCGAATAATACTAGGGAAAGATTAAAATAAAAAAAAGGGATAAAAATCAATATATTTATTTTAGAAACTTACTGATCCTCCTTTCATTTATTTATTTATTTATTTATGCCTATCATTCTCATATAGACTATGATTTTTTTAAAGTAAACTTATAAATAAAAAAAATCTTACGGAGTATCTCGGTTTCAGATGCAATTTACAAGGTAAAGCAAAACAAACCAATCTTACTTATCATTTTTCTTAAAAAAGGGCTAAAAATCAATATATTTATTTTAGATATTTACTGATACTCCTTTCATTTATTTATTTATTTTTGTCTTTCTCATAGAGACTGATTTTTTTAAAGTAAACTTATAAATAAAAAATCATACAGAGTATCTCAGTTTCAGATGCATTTTACAATGTAAAGCAAAACAAACCAATCTTCCTCATTCTTTTTCCTTCCCCTAGCATTTTCTGTGATCCAAACATGCCCTAAAGGTCATGATCAGTTTCATAACTGCTTTGCCGTCAGATATATACATTGATTATACTCTTCAATGTTCTAAGGTTTGCCCCCTCTAACCATTCTCATGGTTCAGGTCTCGTGGGCCTCTCTTTTTCGTATGCCTTAACACTAACAAGCAATCAAGTCTCTTTAAGCCGGTGGTATAGCAGCTTAGCTAACTATGTTATCTCAGCTGAAAGGATAAAACAATTTATGCATTTAACTCCGGAGCCACCAGCTGTGGTGGAAAATAACAGGCCAAACTCTTCTTGGCCTTCCAAGGGTAGAATAGAATTCCTAGACTTGAAGGTATATGCCATATTCTAAACCAACTAAAATGTTTCAGAAAGTACTATCGACACATACGATTAGCACATTACCTTGTTTGAATGCAGATAAGATACCGTGTAAATGCTCCATTAGTCCTCAAAGGAATAACATGCACCGTCAATGAAGGGACAAGAGTAGGAGTTGTGGGGAGGACAGGAAGCGGGAAAACGACGCTCATCAGTGCATTGTTTCGCCTAGTGGAGCCTTGCAGTGGGAAAATCATTGTAGATGGTCTTGATATCTGCTCCATAGGCCTCAAAGATTTGAGGCTAAAACTCAGCATCATCCCACAAGAGCCTACTCTTTTCCGAGGGAGTGTTCGAACAAATTTGGACCCTTTAGGCCTCTACTCTGATGATGAAATTTGGAAGGTAAATTTGTCTAGACAATCACCAAAATTTGATTGCTGCGTGTTTCGATTACTCCAAATGTACTATATATGTCTTATTTGGATTTTGGATAGTGTGTGATTGTTTGGGTTTGGAAGATTCATGAATTCACTGACTCTTGAGAATCTTCAATTCCTGGAATCAGAGGGATATGATGCCTCTCTCATACTTCAGGGTTTTCCCATTTGGGTGAATTCCCATCATTCTAATCACGAGTTTATTCTGACTACCTAGACAATCCAAACAAGACACTAAAAGTTCCTTTTCAGGCTCTAGAGAAATGCCAGCTCAAGGATACCATTAGCAGACTTCCACACCAGCTAGATTCCTCAGGTGATTCAAAAGTATAAAGTTTTTGTGTGTGTGTGTGTGTGTGTGTCTGGATTTTCTCAACACCATCATCATCACGTACCCATGATCTTGTTTGGTTTGGTTTGGTTTTGTTGTCATATAAAAAACAGTGAGTGATGAGGGCGACAACTGGAGCATGGGGCAACGCCAACTGTTCTGCCTCGGAAGAGTACTTCTGAAGAGGAACAGAATCTTAGTTCTGGACGAGGCAACAGCTTCCATAGACTCCGCTACAGATTCCACTCTGCAGAAAATCATCAGAGAAGAATTTTGCAATTGCACAGTCATCACTGTTGCTCATCGTGTTCCCACTGTCATAGACAGCGATATGGTCCTCCTCCTCTCTTTTGGTAAGCTCTTCCCATTCCATCAGACATGTATATCATATTCCTTTCCATTTGAGTTCAGGAACTGACTATCAGACAAAGAAAGTCCATTCAAAGGCCAGCAACTAAAAACAATGAAAGCTCAATTTTTTTTCCCAATTTGTTTTGCAGGGAAACTCGTTGAATATGATGAGCCTTCAAAGCTGATGGGAATTAATTCTTCATTCTCGAAACTGGTTGCTGAATATTGGTCCAGCTGCAGAAGGAATTCCCAGGAGGAGCTCAACCACTTGGGTACCATTTAAGATGGCAGATTATAATAATATACCAAAAGACCAAAGAAAAAATAAAACATCTTGATTTACTTTGGGGTACCAATGAAATCACTATGCACTTAGTCTGCCTTGTATGCAGCAGAATTCCATAAACCACTATCGGGTTTTATTGTCATAAATTATCAGAAATAAATAAATTCGGGAACAACTGGTCAGGCTTGGCTAAATCTGTTACGGAATACTAGTTAATCAACACTCTAATTCTTAGATTGAATAAGCAAGAAAGACGACATAATAAATACAGAGTATCATATTGATATATCACCTGTGCCCTTGATTAAAATTTCAAACACCTTGCTTTCTCCAAGTTGATTACTTGAACCACATCAATTTTAAAAGGTTACGCCACGAATGGTCTTCAGATCACACACACACACACACAGACAGCATTTGTGAGGTTATTTTCACTACTTGTGTCAATCAACGAAGAAAAAACTGATACATCGATATCCCTTCACCATACACACACTTATTTTCACACACACACACACACTGATACATCGTGCGAAAAGCAAACAAAAAGTTTAATTTAGGCCGGAAAGAGTATAATTTGAGTACCTAAAGAATTATTCTATGGATCTACTGGTAAATACTCTAAATAGAACAAGTGCACATTTACTGTCAAAATACAAGCAAGAAGGTTTCCGTAGGATATTCATGTTATAAAATATCATCCACATACTAAAAAAACAGTAGTCCAAGATGAACTCTCAGAGTGCAAGTGAAAATTGGAGTTCAATATCTATTACTCCTTCCGTTTCTTAAAACCCTTCCTCTTTCATTTTTTTTGTTTTTCTTAAAATACTTCCCCTTTCTATTAAAAACCACTTTTACCCCTACTTTTTCATACCCTACCTATCACATCATACTTTTTCACTAACAACTAAACTATCACATCTTACTTTTACTCATCACATCAATGGCAGAATTGGAAAGTCAACTATAATTTAACACTTCCTTATTTTCCCCAAAGTCAAAAGAGGAACTCTTTTGAGAAACGGAAGTAGTACACGACTATCGAATAATATCAATTAGTGTTATATACAGAGTATTTTAAACTTTTGACATTGTAATTATAATTTTATTTATTTTAGTTTTCTAAAAGGTACTCCGTACATAATATGTGTTAGATGATTTTTTTAACTCTAAGATATACTCCGTATCTTTTTTCAAATATTATACTTTAAATATAGATGTACACGCACTAAAGATTCTATAAGTATTTTTTAAAGTAGTAAAAGAGAAATGATTTATTTTTTAAAAAATCATATGAAACTTATTTTTTCAAAACATCGATAAAGTTAAAAAATATTTATAGATATAATTTGATTATGTAAACAAAATATGTTTTAAATTGGTGAAATGTATATATTGGTATGTTTATTTAAAAACAAAAATTTTATACAAAACTAATGGCCATTATTGAATGAAGTACTAATGAATATAGTTTTAATTAATAAAAAATCCTTTATATATATAAAGCAGACTCGGAGCTACAGGAAGGTGACATTTGGCGGAGCTATAGTATGACATTTGGCGAAGCTATAGTGCGACAGGTGGCAGAGCTGATGTGTCGCTTTCTTAAAGAACTAATTTTGTGATGCAAGCTTAGGTGGAAGAAAATAAATCCATCCATAAAAGGAAAATGCAAAATAAAGAACTAATCCATGGAATATGCATACACTACTTTCATCTTCTTCAGAAATTTCTTAAAAAAGAAAATGAACAAATATAAAATGATTTTTAATTACTTTTAAAAAATAAAAATATAAGTTTGGGTTTTGAAATGCGTATTCACGACCTCAATAAAAAGTAAAAATTTGGGACCGGAACTACGCAAAATAATAATAATAATACACATTAATAATAATAATAATAATAATACTAATAATAATAATAATAATAATAATAATAATAATAAACTAACATTTAAAAAAACTAACATTTAAAGAATTAGTTTCCTAATTTGAAAAAAAAAATATTTAAAACAAAATTGATTTTTATTGGCATGTTTATTTAAGAGGGTATTACTAACATTTCATACACAATAAAAAAATTAGGTCTAACAAAAAATTATGCTCCATTTTAAAATTAGTATTGTGTATTTTAAAATTTAATTTTTATATTATTAAATGGTACACACTTTTTTTATAGAGGAATACATAGAATTTGGAAACTATAATAAAAGTTATTAATGAAGAAAAGGTATAAAATATTTAATATTTACGTGCTTAAAAGTGATACTACAAATATTAAATCTTTATATATAAAATTTAAGAGTCGGCTTCCAAAATTACATGTGGCATGTTTAGTACACAAATTTTTTTAAACATGTCCGCAATCATACATTGACTAGAACTTTTCTTATTATATTCCTTGGAATTTCCTTATTGTGTATTTAAAATTAATCTAAAAAATTATCAATACTCAAATGGTTTTATATTTTTTTGATAGACAAATGATTTTTCATAAAAAAAGAAAATTAAAAAATATAAATTTGATTATAAAAAAATTCTTAAAAAAATGTAAATTTAAATTTTGAACTGTGTTTTCACAACCTCAACAAAAACAATATAAACTAAGGATTGGAACTACGTATAATAAGGCCTATAGTTGGAAGATCAATTCATTGGAAGTAGGAGGTTGACGAGTTTATAGTTCGGCTTCCCTTATTCAGTGTCTACTGTTTGCAGGAAGACTCTGTTATCAAACAAGGTTCGAACTTTAAAGTATTGATGGTAGACTAGCTAATAGTTTGAACGCCTAAGAGGTAGGCAATGTGACTGAGTTCAATTATCTCGAATGGCGATATTGTTTGCAATGAGACTGAGATTATGATACTTGGATGTTGGTTTTAATGATTCTCCAAAAATATTGTGGTAGCATGAGATTAACCCCCTTTGGCATGGGAATGTGAATACATAATAGAGGGAGGGAGATGCTGGATCTAAATAATACTTTGTGAGTCAAGCAAAGACAAGGGGAGTCAATAATGGCAGAGCACAAGCTTCAAATTGTTACTGAGTTGGTTCTTTAACAAAGCTAAATATTAATATCATTGACTATGGAGTTGGTTGTTTAGCTCTCACTAAATCCCACTCTATGAGAATTTACTTGGACTATTTTTGTAGTTATATTAATTGTAAATTATTAGTTTAACCCATTTTTTGAAAATTATTTCGGAATTATTTTAAGAAAATAGTTGATACTCACAGGTCACAAAACCAACAATGGCAATTTCTGACAATCTGCATAATGTGTAAACGCTATTAATTTCCTAAAAGATTAGAGCCTTATTTGATAGTGTACATCTTTTAAAATTGAGTAAGCTTTGCCAACAGTTTAAAAAAAGTTATCAATCATACTTTTGTTTTCAAAGTGTATATGATAGTTTAACTAAATTTATCACATGAAAACATCTTTTGTTATTGTTGTCAAATTATATGAAATATCAATTTTGTTCAAACTAAATTCTTTTTTAAGACAATAAGTGTTTGAAATATGACTTATTTGTTTGAATAAAGGAGTGATATATTCCCATTTTCATATGTACTCTGGAACTCAGCATGTTGCATTCAAATGTACTTTTTTAGTATGAAACTACTTCAGAGTTTAAATTGGTGAAGGACAACAAAATTCCCATCTAGAAGTTGTAAAGGAGAAACATTCATTCCTTGTTTGTAAATTCAAAACCAAATGGCAAGGATCAAGTACAAAATATTGTGAAGCTTATAGCACATTAAAAAATTAAGGGTTCTTCACTAATGTATATGCATTGATCTTTTCTTGAGTGAAGGAAGCTCATAAAGGATGATATTAGTATTGCTTTTTGAGAATTCCTGTGATCACTTTTGGCCTCTTTTTTTAAGAAGCATTAATATTGATAGCTCTTTTGAATCATTTGCTTCAATTCTGTATTCTAGGCCCTTTGTCTGCGTCATGGGGGTATCTACCTTTGTCTATGATTATTAATTACTCCAGGGTATCATATACTCCGTATATATATATATAAAGTAGGGTTAATTAGCTGTGGGGTTGACACCTGTCTTCCAACGTGGCACGACGTGATGTGGATGATAACTCTTCCGAGATTATCTTTCTCTAGGGTTACGACTTACCAGTTTACCACTGGAAAAAAAACGATTGAGTTTCTTTCTCGCGCAATCCATACCCATTTTCAGGTGAAGGAACTGCATCGACTAGGGGAGATCGAGTCTTGCGTAGTTGAGGAATGAACAAATTATAATTTGAACCAGATTCGAAAATTAGGCCAATGAACTGCCGCAACTATCAGAGTTAGAGGAGCAGTAAAGGAAGCTCCAAGGTCGTACAAACGCTGAACCAGTTTCTTCTCTAATTCTGATGCTCAAATTTTCAATCCATGATGTTCACCTTTCATCGTAAGTACCACCTATTTAGGCCCAAGTCATTTGATTTATATCTACAAAGCTCATATAGTTAATTGTAGACTTTAAGGAGAAGTTTGATGGATAGCCAGTTGCTCCCAAAGCTGGAACCGTGAAGCATACCAAGTGTTTGTTGATATCCCCCACCCAGAAAAACAACTTCTTCTAATCATTCTTTAGGCGACATTTTCATCAATTGGAGGGAGTGAATTGATAAATATAAGTGTGAATCAGAAAAAAGATGAAGAAAAAAAGAAAAATGATGAAGATGAAATTTCAGATTCTAAATCTAAGACCCAAAAAGGTTTGTTTGTTTATTTTTTTCTTTTTATTTGGAACATATGATGTGAATGATTTGTTTACGTTGAATATTTTATGGTTTTGTGTCTATGGTGCATATGAGACTATGAGAGTGAAGAAAGAGGTGGTATAGAGGCTGAGAATGATTTCAAAGATTCAAAATCAAGAAACGTCATTAATAAAATACAAATGGTCTGTTCATGTGTATAAATTTTTTGTACATTTATTCTGATTTTATGGTTTGCAATTGGATTTTTTGAGGTTAATGTGAAGACTACGGAGAGGGAAGAGGGTAAAGATAGTAGGTTACAATAAAGAAAAGGAAGAAGAAGGCTTACGATTTGACTAGCCAGAAGAGAGACCCTCGAGGAAGTATTGTTTTCCCAAGTAGTCAAATGTGAAATGGTGGTGTTTTGCAGGTATTCTATGGAGTGAAGCCGGATGAAAAGATCAAGTTTGTGTGTGGCATTCAAAAGGCTCAACATGTTATATTTGCTAATTGGGTGTGTGTTTCCTTAGCATCCTCACATTTTGGAGTTGCTATTGGAGTGGAAGCATCCGGACGATTGGAGTGGACGACCATACTACATCTATTTTCAATCTTCTTCTCCGTCCAGGTTAGGGACTGAATTTTTCAGTTTCAATTGCTCTTCTGTCCTAGCAAATTGTCAAGATTTAAATATTAATTTTATCCAAGAATGGATGCTGAGCTATGCATATTTGCAAATTTCTTTGCTAATTTTTTCTCCAATGGAAACACATTCATGACTCATCAAGAGTACAGAGTTCTTCGCTAGCCTCGACTCACTCAGGTCAGTTTTATTATTTTTAATTAATTTTTTTTACATTATGATTTCGTTTCTCTTTGTTGTTGTCCTCATGAATCCCTTGGTGCTATCTGTGTCTTGATTATCCAGAATATAATAATAAAGTAATCTAACTAAAAAGTTTTTGAGCAAATCCATCCAATGAGAATCTGCAGACTCTAGCGGCTGTGATCCGATTTGTGATACGAAATTCAAGACCGGCGGGAGAAATCCGATGCAGAAACGGGTTTAGGGTTTGATAAGGTAGGATTGAAAGTGCAATCAAGGAAAGTGGTCATAATCGTAAAGCAATCAAAAAAAGGAAATTTCACAAATGGGAAGTCAGTAATCAAATGGTATTTAACTATACATTGAACCATGAAATTCTATAATTTATATAACTAGATTTGATCAGTTGAACATTTTAGAGGTTTCATGTTCAACGAGAATTACACCAATATCTGTTTTCTTCGTCCTTTATCAATTCAAACTTGGGCAGCAATGGATTGATCCACAAAGCAGGACAGGGGACCAAGCTGGATTTTTCCACTCCCACCAGGGTGATTATCGAAGCTTACGTCGGTTGGAAAAATATATTTCCCTGGCATCCCTGCAAAATTATTTAGGCATTCCTGGATTGTTTTGCCGAGTAGGCCAAAAGTTATAAGGGGCTGGTGACATCTAAGTTGTGTTATTTTTCTCGGATATTCCACAAAAATAAGTGTCCAAATTAAACCATGATGGAGGGAGTGTATCCGATATATGCTTATAAATAATTGATTAAAAAACCCAAAAATGGTGAGCCTATAATAGCAATGTCTCATTTTTCTATCTCTAATTCTATTATTTGTTTGATGCCAAAACTATGTAAAAGGTCTGATGAATTATTGTATTTGCCTTATAGACATTTTGTGTTTTCTCTCCAACCTGTATTTTGAATATGAGCTTTTGGTATACATGCAGGTTCTCTTAAAGAAAATAGACATAATAAATTTGAAATCTCTATGAAAGAAGTTGAAACCTTCGAGAAAACAACACGCCCTAAAACTCCATGGCAATTAAGTTTTTTTTGTCAATCGTGGTGTGCAATGGTGAAGAATGTCAAATTTTCTTTATTCACTAGAAAATTTTGCAGTTGGCCATTACTTCTTTCAATCTTAATTGTGCACCTTTAACTAGATCTACTTGAACTTTGTACATCATAATGCATTTTAAGTCTTCATGGTACAATATTAAAAGAATGCAATGGGCTATAGAATACCATAAATTGTACAGCTAAGTGGTTTTTAGTTAATCAGTACCCTTAAACCATACCCATGAGCACTAACTTGCACTTACAGCCACCTTTAGTGTCTGAAGCACTAGATACATTATTTCATCACATGCCTAGGATCTAGGAAACCAATAGATGAAATGAAATGATCTTTAGTTGGTGGGACTACTTAATTTCTTTACTTTTATTGCAGATTGTATATGATTGTTGAAAAATAGAAGCATCTCTTATGATGTTATAGTAGTTTTAATCACAACGGTGGACTTTACCCAATGTAATGTGAGAAAACGCTTTGAACAATTCTGTGGGGAGCTTGAGCACTTCAGCTATGTTTTAAAATTTGCAATGATTAAAATTTAGTTTAAGTAAACAATTTAATGGAGATAGGCACTAATCTTTGGAACTTAATAACCTCGATCCTGATATTTTGAGACTTCATCAAGAAGCACATGGAAGCTCTTGAGTCAGTTTATGTTTCTAAAAATTTGCACCACTGGATTGATATAATCTTTGGTTGTAAATATAAGGGGGGGGGGGTAAGGGGTATTTGAATACTGTTATTAACATCTAGCTTCTCTCATTGCATTCATTTATTCATTATAAGTCATTAAAAGAGGAAAAATAATGATCATAAATATCACATCTGGTGTTTATCATTTTTTTTGGAATAAAAAAATGTTATTTTTTGTTCCCCTGTATTCTATTTCAGTGGCTTCTAATTTCCTATTATCGTTTCTTGCAATAGTTCCTTCCACCTTCCCTATGTGCCGATTATTTTTTGCGTTTCTTCCTCTAAGGGATATGTAGTATTAAATTTTTCCCCTGGCATTGCTCAATTGTTTCACGTGGAGGAGTGGCTTCATTGCACTGCTAAAATTTAGGGTGCGTGGAATCAATTCCCCTCTCATTCTTCCTCTGTAATGGAACTACCTTCACTATCTCAATGTCTAATGTTAGAACTAATTATAGTGGGTGAACCAAAGTGTTCTCTTTCTGCTAAGTTGAGAAGGCTAAGGGTGCTGGGATTACTATATGGGAGTTTCTCTGAAGATAAGTCTTTTAGTTCCGCTCATTTGGTGGCTTTTCCTTCTTTATCTATGGATCAGATGAAAGGATGAAGTAAAGTGTTTTAGAGCTAATCTTGCAGATACATGCAATATGGCTAAGTTAGATAGTGATATTCACGTGGTTGACACTGACAAAACATTTGCCAGATTCTGCACGGAATCCAAACAACTTGATCCTGAAAGACACCAGAAGTACATCTATGGTGGTTGTGTTGGTGCATACGTGAAGGTGAGTTGGCATATTAGTGTTCATTGCTATTTTCCCACTAACATGATGTGTGTTATAATTTTAAAAGAATTTCTTTTCTAATTCTCCAAGAATGGATGATTAGCTTATGGAAATATTTTCATTCAATCCTTAAATTTTATGTGAAAGAATGTAAAGAGAAAAGTATAGCGAACATTAGAATGAGTGCCATTATAACATTTGGTCAAAATATTTTTTTTATTTTCTCCAATTGATATTCACAGTCAAACTATTAGGATCTATTGGAACTAAAAATTACTTGGGAATTGAAGGCATATAGGTTTGAATATTTGAAAGTGTAAAAAAACTAGAAAGAATGAAAATTTGTATCTGGATATGAAAAATACTCGGGTATAAATAATATTCCAGCAACCATTTTCATTTACATTCTTCATAGAACACTAAACTCAAGGAAATAGGTTTTGTACACACCCCAAAGTTTTCCATTCTCCAAAACAACCCTTTAAATACTAAGGGAATTATTTTCTGGTATGATTCAAGGTGCAGGACCAAGTAAAAGGATTTTTGTGAATCTGCTTTGTTCCTTTGACAAGAGTCATTTTTCTGCTCAAATAGTTTAACTTCCTCCCTATTATATCCTTTTGATTGATTGTTCTTAGAACTTTCGAATGCCATGCACTAGGTGTACTGGGAAACTGTTTAACTATCTTCTTCCTTAGGTCTTTATCATCTGCTACTAAGATTCTTCCTTCCTTAAATATGCATCCACCCTTCAACTAATGCTTTTCATGACATTTGTGGTTAGTGTTAATTCTTTTTTAATAAGCAGCAGGAAAAGCCTAGACATGAAACTGAGAATAACAATAATAGTACTTAGTAGTTAAGGATAAAACATGTAAGTTTCAAAAGAGAAGGACCATTTCTCATTGTAAACATTTATCTATGTGACATATGTGGCTCTGAGTATCTATAACTCTATGTGACAATTGACAAATAAGGCTCCAGTGTAAAAAATGTTTATCCCATTTAGCTAAATCCACCCATTTATGAGGATTATCTTTAGGAAAAGTTCACGTCCTCTTTCCCTTTTTACACTTTTAGGGGCAAATTTGTACATTTGTAACAAATGATGTGGATTTTGCCAAAATAGGTTTATCCCATTTATGTTTTTTTTGGGAAATTTATATTGATTTATATAATTTTATGTTTTAATATACTTCAAGATATAAAAATAAGTTTAATTTTTGGTGAAGGCTTCCAAATGGGTAATGATTAGACATGAAATTTAGAAAATGTTTGAAAGTCGGATAATAACAAATATGGATGCTTGGTTGTTTGGTAGTGTTCATGTATTAAAACGCTTCTCACTCAAGCGATGAAATCCGTTCTTTGTTTCATTCTTTTAGAGTTATTGGTTTCAATTTTTTCCAATTGTTGTAATTTCTGTTTCAGTCTTTTGCCAAACTTTCCAATTTTCTTTCATTCCTAAATGATTTTGTACATCGTCATTTTCAATTGTTTCAATTATGAGGAGGATCCGGGCAGCGATGCAGAGAACATGTGCAGAATGGAACTGCAGAAGTGAAGAAGGAGAAGCAAAATAAGTCTAAAGCCACCATCTGCCATGGTGCATTAATCTTATTATGTGGTTTACTGGATGAGATTTTAGTAGTGTCAATTATTTGTTTTGTTTCCTTTAATCTCTATAAAACTTACTTTTTATGTGATCTAATTGAACATATTTTTTATTCTTTCCAAGGCAATGAATCACAAGAAAGAATATATTATTAATGCGATTTGCTGATTATTTTCGGTTTTAAATTAATGACCCAAATCAACACATGTTCATACTAGAATATGCAGGAGTATCAGGCTTTCCAGATTTATCGTAGTGTTTGTTTGTACCAAGTTGATTTTTGTGGGGATTTATCAGAGCCTGGTTCTTATCCACCTTACCAAAGATATTACTATGATGGGAAGGTACGAGCTCTTAACGAACAACTTCTAGACCAAGGATTCAAAGTAATTCCATCTTACTAAACTTATACGTGCAATAGTTTTCCGGAAGTATATAAATGCACGAGAATAGGGCAACAATTTTTTCAACACGTAAAGGTGTTACAGAAATTGTTTCTTTAACACATTTTTATTCCCGGAAAATTTGTAATGTTATATATGATGTTGCTTTGTTTGACGCGGAGTTTTCTTGATCGGCCTGACTTTTCCATTGCCACGAGGCATACTATCTTATGTTAGGTGGCTATGAAGAAAGGCAAAACTACTCTATTGAACTGTTTCTTTTGCATTTTCCTTAAGGATGACACTAAGTGTCTATGGTTTATGATTTACAAAGATGAAGCTATGAAGCTTATTGAGCAATCAGCCATGAGCATGTAATATATTAAGAGAAATCATTGGTAATCATCAAAAAAAGTACGCCTTTATCATGCCATAGAGCTTTAAATAGCAAGCTCAGCTATCATGGGTCAACAAACAACTGACCTATTTGCTTATTTAAACTCACTCAAGAGTTTAGAAAGACACAAAACTATCAAGATTGGTATGGTTAATGCCCAGATGCATTTGAATGAATGAGGCTATATAGTTTCACGGGGTTCTAAGGGTGGTTACATGTCTTTTTTTGGCAATGATATCACGCTTTTAAAAAAAGTTTACACATGCTCTCAGTTATTCCTTAGTACAGTATTTAGTTCTTTTTCTTTTTATTCATCTTTATTGCACTGATTGCAACTACCATCTCCACCACGATCACTCTTTCGTCCATGGTATCCCGGTGTCTAATTCAACAGTGGCTTTGACCTATCACATTGCTTATCCCTACTCCCGTGAAAACCTATGTAATGAAACATTATATAGTATAATTTAGGGTTTTTTAATATAATTATCATTTGCAGGGTAGGGCTCAAGGTGCCTTCCCAAGGACTCCATCCAAAAAGTGATTGCCTTCTGCTTCAAAGGTGAGTCGATTTTTTCAAGAAATAATGGCCATTCTCTCTACTTTGTTTTAGCAGTAGCCTTTTATAACAGCGGCCCTTTCAAAAGGTGTTACTCCAGTTTATCTTTTGGAGTACAAAGTATTTTATTATACTCATCCGACCAAAAATTATGGTTGTATTTTGATTTTTCTGGTTACTTAGACCATAATATAATGTAGTTTTGAATAAAAAATATTTTTTAAAAAAATTACATACTATAACTACATCTAAAAATGAGCCCAATAATATTAAATTTACGCTATAATTGAAAATATATTTTCAAAAAAATTATTGTCAAACTAATCATAAAAGTCAAACTAGACCGATAATTTTGGGGTGGGGAGCAGAGTTTTTTTATTTACTCCGTATTTATTTTTAAATACTCCTTATACTCTGTTTAACATTCATCATCCTGTTTGTTGGGTTAATGGATTTCTAGAATATGCCACTCATTGTTGTCTGAATATTTATGGCTTTTTTCTAAATGTTTTTTGCATAGTGGTTGAGTAAGGTCATGTTGTTAATTTGCCTTTTTGTCTTCAGCAATCTAGAACGTAAATAGTGGATTATGCTTTGGCCTAATAGGAACATGCTGGGTTGCTTGAGGGAGCCTACAAACAACACTTGACAGGCACACACTTTAAATTAGTCACGTTTACTGATTATATGATTTAAAACAGAGGTGCATCGTTAACATCTCAGAAAAAATTCTTTATAATTACCATTGATACTCATGAATTTGCCGAAGATTTTGGCCATTGAAACTGATGTTATTGGTTTGATCAATGCTGGATTTCAATAACACTGGGTTATGCTGGTAGGATTAACGCAGGATCTGGAAGCTAATTTCACATCTTCGAACATGATAATGACTATGGTTTTAAGGTACGATTTGGTTAAAACCGGTTTCAGATTGGGGTTATGGATTACGCCAAATGTAAGAGATTCATAGTATTTGATGATGAGGTTGAAAAAATTGTTATCAATATGTCATTTACCTATAATGTACTGTACAAATATCAAAGAGAATCAAAAATCTATTATTAATAGTTATTGTATTACCTTGGAAAAAGTAGTGTTATATTACCAATGGAAAATAGTTCCTTAATTCAGACAAAAAAATTATTGAAATTTTTGTGGCAGATGTTACTCCGTATATTTCTATTGTTACAAAGTATTTAACCATGAATTGCTCCATGATGCATATTTTAAAGGAGTTATCCGTCTTGATCGACAAATATATCTGCCATTTGTATGCATTTCATAGTGTTGGGTTATGGAACCCGGGGGGCCTAGGTAACTAGGCGGATGAGTATCGAACTAAGTACGAGTGCACGAAAATATGGGGTCAAGTAAACTGAGAATAGTATTGTGCTAGGAAAGATAATACTTAGAACGTCCCCCCCTCCCTTAGAAGAGAAGAGGTTTATATACAACATACAGCTAGGGTTCCGACCGTTGGTCCGCAATCCAACGGTCTGGGCCCACTAAGATTGGGTTGTTCACTGGCGGCGTCCAACCACATAATTATCCCTAAGATTGCTATACCACGTAGGTAACCAGTAGGGTGGCTATAGCAACTCTGCTAGAGGCATGGCAGGAGTCTAATCGTGGGTCCCTTGATCTTGACTCCATTCAGCTCCCTTGTCTAGATCCGATCCGTAGCTGGCCAGGGCCGAGGCCGAGCACATGTTCTGCACTCGGGATTTCTTCGGACGGGAGTCAGGCTGGGTCGGTCCGAGGGTGACCCAGACTGCCGAGGCTGATCGCATGATACTTGCCGAGGCGATCTCCGATGGTCCATCTTGGTTTTTGCCAAGTGGGCCTTGGCATAGTTGGGCTGGGCCATTTTCCTGTTGGGCTGGATACCCCCATTCCCGAGTATCCATCATGAGTCCCCTACTTCCTCGGCCGAGCGCAGCGAAGCCGAGGGAAGTAATCCAGAATTGGAGTTTTTGAATTTTGAATTTTGAAATCTTTGCCATGTGTAGGAGTCCCCCGCTGCCCAACTCGAGTACTGACGAGGGTTGGGGAGTGTCTCAACTGGCAAAATTTACACGTGTCCCCTCGATTCTGAGAAGTATGATTGTACTACTTGGGAGACGCAACGTCTCTGTACTGTTCCTTTGTCAACCGTTCGCGATGGTTCCTGATCGTGCGCCTAAGGAAGCGCCACGTCTCTTCGCAATTGCGCCTTTTCATTGAGTCGGGTCGGATCCCTTGATCGTATAAAATTGAGAATTTTCCCCATCTTCTCCACTTTTGCCATTTTTTGCGCCGCAGCTCTGTCGTTGGTTTCGTTCACTTTTTCCGTTCGCTTCCGTCGCCGTTGCAGTCCGATTTGAAGGTTAGTTCCCTCTTCCCCGTTCTCATGGCGTCTTCTGATTCCACTACTTCCGCTCCCGCTGTCGATTCGGCGGTGGTTTGGTTTGAAGAAATGTACCGTCAAGATCCCTCCCTCCGCCCCAACGGCTTGATGGGAGGAATTGACCACTCTAGGGTTCTGAGTGCGGTGCCTCTTCACACGTCCGTCACCGTGGCGTCAACGTCCCGGGCACCGCCCTTGAGAAAGAAGAAGAAACCGAACGTTGCCAAAGGGAAGAACCCGAAATCCTTACCCGTTACCGTGCTGGAAACGGGTCCGATTACGAATACGGGTTGTCTTCTGTTGGACGTTGACTTTGACGAGGCTCTCCGCTTCGTGGGTGACGGTTACACAGTGCGCCGACCGCACACGACCAACCATGTTTTCTCTGTGACCTGTCCCGACGCCGAGGTCGGGGTGCACGTGGCGTCAATGCGCTACGGCCTTCGTTTCCCTCCTCACGATCTGATAGTCCAATTTCTGAATTTCTACAACCTTCTGCCGGGTCAGCTCAGTCCCCACTCCTACTATTGTTTCTCAATTTTCCTGATCAAGTGTCACCAGAGGGGAGTCCCCTGGTCTTTGGATCTATTCCGTTACATGTTCAAGATCTCCAAAGTGGGGGCCCTTGAGGGAAATTCGTATGCCGTCGTTTCCTCCCAGGCCGAGTGTGGGATGGCCGTCTTCCCCTCGTCCTTGAAACTCTGGAAGGCCAAGTTTGTGTTCATTTCTGGTTTTCCTGGGGGCCGGCATCCATTTCGCGCCAGGTTCCCCGTCTGTCACACGTTCGTTCGTCATCCTCGTCCCCAGGCCACTCCCGAGCTTCTCGCATACACGCAGAAACTTTTGGAGGACTGCCGCCCCAAACCGCCCCACGTGTACACTATCTGCACAGAACAGAATTTGGCGGAGGTGGGGATGCTTATCTCCCTCGAGCGTCAATTCGAATTGACCGAGGCCGTGCTTGGGGGTCGTCCCAAGCATGGGCTTGAGGATAGTGCTCCGAGGTCGGAGGATCTGGAGTCGGGGGGCGAAGAAGTGGAGGACGACGAGGAGGTGGAATCCGACGAAGAATCAGAACAGCCACCCTATTCCGAGGGGATTGCTGACGTGGATCCTTCCGTAGGTTCGTCCTCCGCCTAGGGTTTTACCTCCCCTTCATTATTTTCTCTTTATCGACTTCTAACTGCTGTTTTATCCTAGCAGGAGATATGAATCCGGTGGATATGATCCGCAAGGCCAAGCTGCTGGCTCGAAATCGCAGCAGAGGAGAAGAGGTGCAACAGAAAACGTCTTCTGAGAACGCATCTGGGCCCATTGTTCCCGTCCCGAACCCGGAGACGGCCTCGACCCGGAACCTGAGGAAGAGGAAGGTTATCCAAGTCGAGGATGAAGATACCGCGTCTGAGCAGGACATGGTCCTGAATCAGGACCCGATGAGCAAACGGCCGACCGGCCCTCTGGGTGGGAAGTGTCCCAATTCCTCCGACAAGGTTGATGGGGATGCCAATACCGAGGCTGAGGCCGCATCCCTCTCTGCGGTGCTGAAGGAAGAGGATAAGATCCTCCTGTCTTTGCAAAAGCTGGTGGAAAAGGTCAGCCTTCTCGTACTTTAGAGAATTTTTTTTTTTTTGCAGATGACTGATTTGATCTGCTTTAGGCATCGGCGAAACTGAACTTGATCAGTCAGCGCCGAGCTGGGGTTGGATTCTCCGCAGGCGTAGATTCCTTGGCCTCGGTGGAATTGGAATTGTCCCGCCTAAGGAAATTGGCGGAAACCGAGCATGAGCAGGCCGTCGAGCTCCAAATGCAAGCCGTGGCGAAGTCTGAGGAAGTGGTCCGGCTGCAGGACCTGAAAGAATAGGAGGAATCAGCCTCCCAACTAACGGGTTCGATGGCTGAGCTCGAAGGGCGGCTGCGTCAGGCTGAGGGTCGAATTTCCGAGCTGGATGTGAACTGGCTGAAGCTGTCTCCGCGCAGCGGTCAGCGGAAACAGAGCGGGACCAGCTCCTCGCCGAGAGGGAACAAGCTGCCGCTGAGAAAGAGCGCGCCATCTCCGACTTCCTCCAATCCCCTTCCTTCAAAGAAACCTGCCTGGAGAGGATGGCCGCCTACTACGAAGATTGGATCAAGACTGAGGCCGGCATTGCGAAGATGGGCGTGGAGGGGACGACGTGGTTCGAGAGTGGCGTCTATCACGGGATCAAGCTCGTCCTTCGCCGGACCAGAAGAGTAGATCCGTCCTTTCCCCCGCCTGGGGTTGATATCCCCGAGATGCATGATCCTAACTTGAACGCCGAGCTTGGGGAGAACCCGTTCTCCCTTGGGACGCCCGAGCACGAAGAAAAGGATGCAGAAGACACCGGCGACGAACAACCCTCTAACATTCTTCCTTAGTGTTTTCCTTGTAATTTTTGAAATCTCTTCTCTTTTGTAACCAAAGATTTTGTCACTGTTTTGCTGCATGCGTGAATAGTTGATAGATTTCTGACATTATTTATTTGGATAAATTTGAATTGCGCCTTTTGAGGAACTGACTCTTTGGCTTCCCCACGCAAGCAGACCTAACCACTGGACCGTCACGCTGTGCCAAACACGTGTCACTGCGCACAGTTCCACTTCCAATCACCGCGACTGTTTGACTTCCTTATCTCTTCGTGCATGGTACTATAAATTGACCTTCCCCCTGCATTGTGAAATTCATCCCTTCATCCCTTGTGTTAATCTTTTCATGGCTTCCAATAATTCCGCGGGGATAAATCCTCCGCCTTCCCCGCTGAAAACCAATCGCCGCCGTCCTCCTCCTCAGCCGGATGACGCCGAGTCTCGCACAAGCTCTTGGTGGTACCGCGCTAAGAAGTTGGAAAGGCGGATCAAACGTCTGCAAAGACTTGTGAATTACCTTCACGGAGTTCCTCAACAAGCAGCGTTCCCGGTTGAGCCTGCTCAGCTAGCTGCTGATGCCATTCCCGTGGGTGACAATCACCCGGAAGAGTCTGTCGGCTCTTCCTAAGTTTCCCTATTATGGCCCTCCCCTGTATATCTCCCCATGGAGGTTTGCCGAATTGGGGGGGCCATCCACGCCCTTCGGCGGCTGGGCTTTGTTAGTCCTGAAGTCCATTGGGCCCGAGGGTGTCTACTTCCCTATGACTTTCTCTACCTACCAATGGATTTGGGGTCTTTTTTCCTTCGTCCGAAAATCCATGGGGAGGTAGGGAAAGTCATATGTTTTCCTTTTCCAGTGCCGCTGTGTAATAAATGTTGCCGACGTTGCACCGTATCGTGTAGGGCTTGTAATAAATGTTGTAGCTTTTGAGAATACCTCTATAATAAATGTTGTAGCTTTTGTAATAAGTGCCCTGTGCTGATTATAAATATGATGCATTGTTCCTTCCCTTGTTTGCCTCTCTTTTTTTTTTGCAATATGGCGTTAAGCCCTGGTACTCCCTCTCTTGAAGAGGGAACGTCCTTCATTCGGGCCACCCCACCTTGTTCTTTCTTTATGGCCGATTCGCTTTCTCCCAGCTTCGCCACCACTCCGACTGCGGTTGGGAAGTGTACTTATTCCGATCTGTCTTCTTTGAGTGAGGATTCTGTCCAGAGCCCTTTCCGCCGGAAACCTGATCCAACAGGGGCTGCGCAGAAGTCTGGCCGTTTGGTGCGCAAGGTGGGCACGAATGTGCGTGCCTACCTCAAAGGCTTTCGTCGTGCTCACCGGAAGAAGACGATCAGTGCCGACCTCAAAGCGCAGCTTGCGGTCGACCATGGGGCTTCCTCAGTAGATTCTTCATTTTCTGAAGAAATAAATGTGTATTTTGATCATTCGGGGAATAGTGCTTCACGTTCTTGTGCTTGAATAATGATGTATCGCTGTTCTGGGCGAATTTTGCGTAATAAAATTGCTTGCGTGCTATTATTATTTTTTTATTTTTTAATTTTTTTACCCCAAAGGGCTCTATTGCGCTCGTACCCTCAGCAGGGCGGCGAAAGGTGTGTCCTCAGCAGGACTAGTGGTCGTGGAAGACATCCTAAGCAGGATTGCAAGTTTTTTGTCCTAAGCAGGACCTTGCGCTGCCCTCTGTGCTATTAACAAGTTGTGCCCATTCGGACCTTGTTCTTCGTCTCGTTCAGAGCGCCAATTCCCCGGGTTAAGCCGTGCGGATGGGCTCCCCCCTGAAGGGATACTCGGCAATAGGTATTGCCGAGTGGCGAGACGGCTGAAATTTGTTTCTCGTGATGTGTGTGTGGGAGCACAAAGGGTCTTAGTTCGCGTAGAGCGAGAGACCGCGTGAGGCCATAAAAAATCGTGGCGTGAGAGCCCGATATCGCTAAGCAGCGTTTAAAAATTGCTTGAAGCAAAACAGAATTCGCGTGGGAGCGAGTACTTCATTGAAGAGGAGATTTTTATTTTAAGCTACCGAGGCCGACTGGTTACGGTTCTCAGTGCCTTACATGTAAAAATAAATGAGATTGTGCGTATTCCAGTGCCTGCCGAGTTCGCGCCCTTCGAGCGTGGCGAGCTTGTAGGTGCCAGGCCTGAGCACGGCTGTGACCTTGTATGGTCCTTCGTAGCTTTTGGCAAACTTTCCTCCTTCTGTAGGCTGACTGGCTTCCCTTTTCCTGAGTACCAAATCCCCTATTCGGAATTCCCTTGCTCTGACTTTGCGGTCGTAGTATTCTTTTACTTGCCTTCGGTAATTTTCTGCTTTGAGGAAAGCCTGCTCCCGGCGTTCTTCAACGAAGTTGAGATCGGCCGCCATGGTTTCTTCGTTCTCCTTGGCTTCATAGTTCTCCTCTCTCCATGTTGGAATGAACACTTCCGAGGGTGCTCTTGCTTCCAGACCGTAGCACATGGAAAACGGTGTTTCCCCTGTCGCCCTCCTCGGAGTTGTGCGGTATGCCCACAGCACGTTGGGAAGTTGGTCCACCCAGGCTCCTTTGTAAGATTCCAGCCTCTTCTTGATCCCATCCATGATCGTTCGATTGGCGTTTTCTACTTGGCCGTTCCCCTGCGGGTAGGCCACAGAGCTGTAGGTGTGCCTTATCTTCCAATCTCCCAGAAGTTCATTGAAATCTCCGGCCTCGAATTGGGTTTCGTTGTCCGTAGTGATCTGCTTTGGAACACCATACCGGCAGAGTATGTTGTTGTTCACAAACTTTGAGCATTGTTCTGAGGTTCCTCCCACTAGAGGCTCGGCCTCGATCCACTTCGTAAAGTAATCGATGGCCACAATGATCCAACGGAAGTTACCGGGTGCCCTCGGCATCAATCCGATCAAGTCTATTCCCCAATGAGCAAAGGGAATCGAGGAGCTGATAGGATGATAGCTGGTTCCTGGTCTACCCGGAATGTTCTGAAAAACTTGGCATACTTTGCAACGCTTGGCGCGCTTGGCACAGTCCTTCACCATGGTCGGCCAGAAGTATCCCTGCAGGACAATGCGTCTTGCCATGGAGAAAGGACCTTGATGTGCTGCGCATACTCCTTCATGCACTTCTTCCATGATTTGCCCCGCTCTGGCTTCATCAATACACCTTAGCAATGTGCCATTGTACGATCTCTTGTATAGTCAGCCATTCTCAACGACGTACGTCGGCGCCCTCCGTTTGATCAAACGGGCCGTCGTCTCATCGCCAGGGAGAATCCCATCCTTCTTGTACCGGATTAACTCCGCGATCCAGCCGATGGCCTCTTCGGTGACAACAGAGATGAGCTGTACGTGGATGCTTGGGGTTCCCAGGTCTTCAATGCGAGCCATTTTGGAGATATGTTCGGGGCTTTCGTTGCTCAATTTGGAGAGAACGTCAGCCTCGGTGTTTTCCGCCCTTGGGATCTGCACAAGCTCGTATCCTTTGAGGATTTTGAGCAACTCTAAGGCTGCCTCCTTGTATAGGCGCATCCGTTCCTCCTTGGTGTCGAACTCCCCTTTGATTTGACTGACGACCAGGCGCGAATCGCACCTGATCCTAACGTATTCGGCCTTTAGGTTGAGGATGAGCCTCAGTCCGCTCAGTAATGCTTCATACTCGGCTTCGTTGTTGGACAACTTGAACTGGAATTTTATTGCATGATAGGAGCGGAATCCTTCCGGTGATTGGATTACCACGCCCCCACCGCAAGCCTTTGCAGCTGACGATCCATCAGTAGATAAAGTCCACCATTCTCCCTGCTCCGCCACGGGTATGGGGTTGTTGTCACGTGCAGTACATTCTACCATGAAATCGGCCAAGGCCTGGGCTTTGATTGCTGCCCTCGGCTTCATCTCTATCTGATATTGACTCAGATAGACAGACCACTTGATGACCCTGTTAGAGGCCGTCGGATTCCTGATGATGATGCCCAGAGGTTGATGACTCCTTACTTCCACTTCGTGGGCTTGGAAGTAATGGTTCAGCTTCTTGACCGTGTTAACAACGGCCAAGATTGTTTTTTCCACCACCGAGTATCTGAGCTCGGCATCCCTCAAGGTTCTGCTAACATAATAGATAGGGCGCTGAGTGTCCCCTTCCTCTCTCAACAAGACGGAGCTTATGGCCCCTGGGCTAACTCCCAAGTAAAGGTACAGCTTCTCGCCCCTAACCGGCTTCGCTAATACCTGCGGGGTTAGCAAATACTTCTTCAGTTCTTCGAATGCCGCCTGGCATTCGGGTGTCCATTGGAATTGTGGGACCTTCTTCAGTGTGCCGAAGAAAGGAATACTCTTCTCGGCGGATTTTGACAAAAATCGGCCGAGTGCAGCCATCTTCCCCGTCAGGCGCTGTACTTCTTTTATGGAACGGGGGGCCTCCATGTCGAGGATCGCCTTGACCTTCTCGGGGTTGGGCTCAATACCTCGTCGGCTCACGAGGTATCCCAGGAACTTTCCACCTTCTACACCAAATGCACATTTTTTGGGGTTAAGACGTAAATTGAACTTGCGCATAATAGAAAAAACCTGGGCCAGATCCTCCGCATGGTTAGAAGCCTGCTTGCTCTTGACGATCATGTCGTCCACATATGCTGCCATCGTCTTTCCCAAGACCGAGTGAAACACCCGGCTGACCATCCTTGTGTACGTGGCTCTGCTGTTCTTTAGCCCGAATGCCATCACCAAATAACAGTACACCCCCTCCGGGGTGAGGAACGCCGTCTTCTCGGCATCTTCGTCGTGCATGAATACCTGATGGTATCCTCTGAACGCATCCATGAAAGACATGACCTCACATCCGGCTTTTTCGTCGATCATTTGATCAATATTGGGCAAAGGGAAAGGGTCCATAGGACAAGCTCGGTTCAGGTCAGTGTAATCCACACACATCCTGAACGTCTGCCCCTTTGGTGCCAGCACAACGTTGGCCAGCCAGGTGGGGTACTTTATCTCCTTAACATGCCCTGCTGCTTGGAGCATGTCTACCTCCTTCTTCACGAAATCTCTCCGGTCCTTGCTCAAGTGCCGCCTTCTCTGCTTTGTGGGCTCTGCCTCCGATCCGACCACGAGGCGGTGGGTGATCAGGGATTTGCTAACTCCTGGCATATCCTCGACACTCCATGCAAAGACCACAAAGTTCTCCCTGAGTACCTGTATGATTTTTGATCGGAGCTCGGCACTGATGTTAATACCGAGCTTGATCTTTTTCTCCTGCTGCTCCCCCATTATCACCACATCTTCCGTATCCTCGGCTGGCTCAGCCCGAGGGCGGCCTTCTTCTTCCTTCAAGAGTGCCGAGGCGATACTGTCCACTCTGAGATCCTGGGCGTCCATCTTCTTGGTTTGCTTCTGGTAGCAGAGTCGAGCGAGCTTTTGGTTTCCTCTGCACACTCCCACTCCTGAATCGGTAGGGAATTTCATGCTCAAATACTTCACCGATGTTACGGAGTCGAGATCTTCCAGTGCAGGCCGACCCAAAATCAGGTTATGGGATCCCAGAAGTCGTACCACCAAAAATTCCACCGGGATCGTCCTCTTATGCTCTCCATCACCGAAAGTGACCATCACCTCGACTAGGCCCTCTGAATCGATGATGTCCCCTGTGAATCCGGACAAGGGAGTCCTTACTCTCTTCAAGAGCTCCTTCTTTAATCCCAGCTCCTCAAATGTCCTTACATACATGATGTTCACCGAGCTCCCATTGTCAACGTAGGATCGGTGGATTACCACCTCGTTGATCTCACACCTGACGACCAAAGCGTCTCTGTGGGGTGATGGGATCTCTGGCAGGTCCTTGGGACCAAATAGGAGGGGCTCTGTCTTCGTGATTTTCGATGGTCCGGGTGCGCTGTGAACGTCTCCGACGTAAGCCGAGTGTACCCATTTCTTTCTTTGCTCGGCACTGTCTCCCCCGGTATTGCCACCATAGATCATTCTGTTCTCCTCAACCCTCTTCTGTCTGGGGTTGTCTTCTTCTTCCTCGTCACTCGGGAGACCTATCTCCTTCCTCTTCTTCTGCTGAGTTCCCGCCAGCTTCTTCCCTCGATTATCCCCGTTCTTCTTCCCATCGTCCTTGCGCCATGTGTTCTTCTTTTTGACGAATTGTCGCAAGTATCCCGCTTGGATCAAGTTCTCGATCTCTCTCTTCAGGACCTTGCACGCGTCCGTGTCGTGACCGGCCGCTCTGTGAAACCTGCAATAAGGGCCCTCCCTGACAGTGCAGATCGGGGGAAAACGCGGATCGTACTCCACCAAGCCCTGATGCTCGGCGAAATCCAGAATGGCGCTTACGGGATGTGTGAGCGGCGTGAGCTCATCGGGGAACAACAACTTGGGACCTCTTGGAGGATAAGGTCTCCTGTCCTCGCCTCCTTCTTCGTATACCTCCTTTCCATGCGATCGTCGGTCTCGTGGATCTCTACCCTTCCGGAAGCGGTGTCCGATCAGCAATTGCGGTCGCTCATCGATGGTGACCCTCCTCGGCGTGGACTTTACCGCTGTCGTGATGGAACCGAGCCTTCCTGCTTCTTCTGTCTTCTTGTTTGCCTCCAACTCCTCTGCTTCGGCCTCATCCTCTCCCATGAGTCGATCTTCCCCTCAGGCAACTCATTGAACCACTCGGACGCTAACCCATCTAGAGTGGCGGGAAACGACCTACAAAGGACTTCCTCGGAGAACGTTACCACGTTCATGAGGGTTTGGTATCGGTTGAAATGTTCTTGCGGGTCTGTGGTCCCGTCATACCTTGGTATAGGCGGCATCTGAAAGCTCCTCGGTAGTGGTGCCCTTAGGATTCTTTCGGAGAAAGGAGAACGAAGTCTGAACATGGGTTCGGCCACCTGTCCTGCCCCGTTCCTCCTCTCTAGGGCGTCCAGTCTCTGCAAGAGGAGGTCAATGCGTTCGTCCCCAGGTCTGCCCGTACCTCCGTCCATCGCGATGGGCGTCGCTTGCGGCGCTCTCAAGATCGGATGTTGAACGGGTTGCTCGAGCCGGGAATTTTGTCTTTCCGGGTGGACCTCTCTGTGTCGGTCACAGTGCTGTTCTTCGCAGGGCATCCTATTTTTCCCTGCTTCACTCTGCAGGAAAGTGTTCCGTCGGCCATACAATCGTTCCGTGGCCGGTACTCGCATTCGGCTAAACACAGATACGTGCGACTCACTCTCACCTTGCCCCTCCTTCAGGGGTTCACGGCATTTGCTCGCCGTCTCCTTGTCTCGACGGTTGACCTGCTTCTTGTTGGGCCTGCGCTCTGGGCCCCTGCCGTTGTCCCGCTGCTGGGATCGGCTCGGCTCCTTGTTCTCGGGTCCCCCGGCCAAAGGATTCAGGCGAGGGTCCGCCATCAGACTCTTCAAGTGTTGGGCGAAAAGCTCTGCGCTTTCCACCGCGCTCTGCTGGACCTCGCGACGTTCGCCAAGCTGGAACGTCGGCTGGGGCGTCGTGACCGGCATGTGGAAACCGGTCATGGGTTGATTGAACAGCATCGCCCTCATCATGGCCCAGAAACCGCTAGGGTCTGGACCTGGGGTCCTCGCACCGGAGGTCTCCCCAAACTGGAAGAACGGTGAGTTGAAATCACCGGGCAGCACCACGCTCCCCCCGCGGACTAACCCGTTGGGAGGAGGCTGCGTTAACACACCGGCGCCCTGGGCGGGCACCTGCTGCATCGGCGCCTGCGACCCCACGACCTTCGCCGTTCGCCGTCTGGGAATGCGGTGGCGCAGATCAGTGGTGTTTTGGCTGGCGACATCGTTGAGGCTGATGTCCAGCTCATCGGGACCTGCGCCGGTCGGCGCCGTTATGGTCATCCTGAGACCGTCGCCGAGATTGGCGGTAGACGATCTGGTCACTCTCCTTGACGCAACCATTTTTTGGAGCACGCTTGATGTGTTCGACACTCTCAATGAAAGCACCAATGTTGGGTTATGGAACCCGGGGGGCCTAGGTAACTAGGCGGATGAGTATCGAACTAAGTACGAGTGCACGAAAATATGGGGTCAAGTAAACTGAGAATAGTATTGTGCTAGGAAAGATAATACTTAGAACGTCCCCCCCTCCCTTAGAAGAGAAGAGGTTTATATACAACTTACATCTAGGGTTCCGACCGTTGGTCCGCAATCCAACGGTCTGGGCCCACTAAGATTGGGTTGTTCACTGGCGGCGTCCAACCACATAATTATCCCTAAGATTGCTATACCACGTAGGTAACCAGTAGGGTGGCTATAGCAACTCTGCCAGAGGCATGGCAGGAGTCTAATCGTGGGTCCCTTGATCTTGACTCCATTCAGCTCCCTTGTCTAGATCCGATCCGTAGCTGGCCAGGGCCGAGGCCGAGCACATGTTCTGCACTTGGGATTTCTTCGGACGGGAGTCCGGCCGGGTCGGTCCGAGGGTGACCCAGACTGCCGAGGCTGATCGCATGATACTTGCCGAGGCGATCTCCGATGGTCCATCTTGGTTTTTGCCAAGTGGGCCTTGGTATAGTTGGGCTGGGCCATTTTCCTGTTGGGCTGGATACCCCCATTCCCGGGTATCCATCACATAGTGTATTTCGTGTCAATTACTTATTGCAAAAAACAGCGTGTATAGGTATTTTCAAAGCAACAATTTTTTTTGAAGCCTTCATTTTAGAACCCCGGGAAAAAAAATAATGAGGTTTGAGATTATTAATTTTATGGCAATAATCATTTACATTTACTTGGGCCATGTTTTATCCCCCCCTCCCCCCGAACCCTTGCCTCACTATGAATCGTGTATATAATTTTCTAATACACCTTCCGAAAACATTGAAATATGGTTCCACATCTAAGAACACGCCAATGCACCCAAAAATGATTTACCAAGTAAAAGTGACACACACAAGTCTTTATTTATTTTGACCATATTGAAATGAAGTGGGAGACTAGAAATGAATTTTATAGAACATAATTTTTGCCTTACACTTCTTCGCACTATTTTTGTTCTCTTAATTCATTCTAAACGTTTTAAAAATTTAGTGATACTTCTCCTTTTTTATGTTGCTTGAATATATTACCTATTTTTTTAATAATGAAATTAGTGAGTGATCAATAATTACTTCATGTTGTAATTTTATTTATCCCATCGCGTACAACATATAAGTGAAAATAATTTTAAGTGAATCAATATGTTTTTAGACAATTATTTTAAGTGAAAATAATTTCCATGGGAAATTATGCTCCATATTTTCTGTTGTTTATTTGGAAGTTATTTCTAAACAAAAAATTAATTATTTGTTAAAAAAAATATTTTTTTATATTACTATATTGTTGATATTTGAATAAGAAGGAGAGATATTTAAGATAATTGTTAAATATTTTAGGGAGCATATTATGTTTTTTATACATGATTTATATTAAATCTTTACATTAGAGCTTCATTATATTCTCTTTGGGGTGGTCAGGGGTAGGAGGAGATAGAGGATGGGGGTGGGTGGGGGAATGAACTCGTGGAACGAGAGTATTTGAGGATTTTCATTCAAAACAATTGAAAGTCATTTCTTATCTTTGATAATATATTTATCCAAAAAAATGATTTCTACTACTTATACAACCTAACATAGAAAAATAAAACTAGATTTTAATTTGGTGAAATTTATATATATATATATATATATATATATATATATATATATATATATATATATATATATATATATATATATATATATATATAATACGGCGTATATTTTACAATGATGAAATATATTTTTATAAAATTGTTAAAAAATGACATTTTTATACAAAGTATAATTAAATAATGTTTTTACTACTAAAATATAATATTTATTTAATGTAATAAAATAAAATGTGTTAAAAAATCTTTTTAAAAACTTAAATGGACCAATGAACTTCATCCATCTCAATGCACATATGGATGCACATGTGACATGCCACATGTCAACACTCCAAGAGATAAACCCAGCTTTACATATATATACTTTTCATTGGTCCGTCCCTGAGTGTTTGTCCATTTTTTACTTTTGTAACTGTTCATCTAACCACTTTGACTCATCAAATTCTCTCAATGTGTAAGCCTAAAAATAGTCATGTGTGATCTTGTTTGATTCGTCTTAACATATAGATTATTAATATATAATTTTTATATTTTTTTAATATACAAATTACAAGATAAAATGGATTAAAGAAGTGCATTGGATGGTGTGCAAAAATGAAAGTGGACAAACACTCAGGGACGGAGGGAGTAGTATTTTTACCCGTGCAATGCACGGGGTCAACAAAATTTGTCGATTCTGAATATTTTTTATGCAATATATTTTTTGGATCAATCATGAAACTTATTCTTTCTTTTATATTTAAATCATAATTTAAATTTAAATTTAAATTACTGGAACGTGTGTCTATGCAATTGACCCAAATATAGAAACTAACCATTTTTATTCATACACATTAAACACTAAAAGCCATAATTCCTTTTTTATTAATGTAATTTTTTAAAATTATACTCGCTCTGTCCCAATTTATAGTGCTTGTTCAATATTCACATGGTCAAACATCATTCACTTTCTTTCTTTATTTTCGTTAGCAATTTGATAAAATAAAGTACTATTGTCACTACTAGTTTTGTAGATCTTTTAATATGTAATTTTTATTTTTTTAACTCTATATCATTTGTTGTATAAAATGATTTGAAAATAATTTCAGTCACATATCGTAAACCGAAACAGGCACTATAAATTGGAACGGAGGGAGTACTATGTAGGTATAAATGTATAATCAATAGATTTTTCTTTATATTAAATTCGTAATTTAAAATATTATTATGTTGTTCTACGCAACTTCACGTTCTAAAAAAGAAAACTAAGCTTTTTTATTCCTATGCATTAAACACACGATTTTATTTAATTCCTAATTTAAATTAGTATACCCTAAAAGTCTTACCGTGTTACCTTTTTTTAATTAAATACCATAAAAGTCTTACCTTTTTAACCGTGTGCATTTGGGCGGGAATTCCATGGAGCCATTTTCTCCTATTTTTAAGAATAGTGATTTTTCTATCATCCGCCTCAGGTCGTGGATAAGCCTTCTTTTTCTTATATAAGCACAAAAAAATACTTCATGAAAAAACAGTATAGATAAAGAACTCAAAAATCCATCACAAAAGAAAGAAATAACATATCTGACTTCATATGAGTTGATGTCTCAAGACATAAGAAAAAACAGTGTGTTCATAAGCAACAGCAACCAAACCTCCTGGGAAGAAACAACTGAGGGAAACTGAGATCTGCAACCACTAGCATTAACATTGAAGCAACCCATCTCATGCTCCTTTTGAATGTTTGCATAACAAAGATGGAAATGCTTCTGAAAGTACTAACAAGAATTAATAACAACATCCAAAATCAAAATAAGAGGCTCCCAAGAAACAGAAGATTATGTTTAAAAAACTAGCGGTGAAGACGACGTGTGAGTGAACATTGATCTCACATTGGTGGTCGGATCATTGTTGGAGAAGGTCGTGTAAAGTGGCCGAGGGAAAGAAACATGCATGTGGTGTCAGTGTGTCACTGTCAATGGCTCTGAACAACTTACTCTAAGGATATTTTTTTAAAGTCAATCCATACGTCCCTTAGAGAGGGGACCTTCAACCACTCTAGTCCTCCATCCTCGCCGCACCTCCGATTTATTCCCGGGCAGCCCCTAATGATTAGAGACTCAAGCCTACTCGGCAATAACCCTTGGGTCACAGAAACTAGCTGCCTGCAGTCACGGAGCTCCAAGTGTTCAAGAGAACACAGAAGCAACAGAGATGGAAGAAGATGAAGTTTAGGGCAATATCTTACTGAGATGCGGCGAAGGCGGGGGAAGTCCCCATCCTCAACTCCAGTCCATTCTTCAAGGGTAGGCATGGTATCAATAGTCAATTTTTCCAGCCTTGGAAATGCTTTAACCAATTTTGTTTCATGATTCCTGCAAAAAACTGCGTTGATGTTCCTCACATTTTCCATGTCGAATATGTGGAGAATCTTCAGAGAAGGAAGCTCCCCGATGGAGGGCAGGATCTCACAATTTATGCACTTGTACAGAGTGATGCTGGCAAGATCAGCATAGGCTGGATTGCTTATCCACCTCGGAAGTTTTGATCCCCCATAAAATGTCAACTGTAACTCTTTCAGGCCAAAATGTGGTTGCAGTGATTCTAAAATTCCAGCTGCATCTTGAAAATTGTCAAAGCCACCACAACGCCATTTTTACTCCAGCTTGTCAATATACTGTTTTTCTGATAGTGCGGCTCCCTTTGCTTCCTCCGCATTGGACACATTTTCAAGCCCTAATATACAAAAAGACCCTGCAATCTCATTCATGCGTTTCAGCTCTCTTATGCCACACCCATCATTCTTCCCCACAATGAATGCTCGTAAAGTTTGAAGCTTTATTAAATTTCCAATCCCTTTCGGCATGGACTTCAATTGGCTAGCAATGTCAAAATCTAGATGGCGGAGGTTAACTAACATCCCCAATCCTCTTGGTAAAGTAAACAGTGCAAAGCAAGTTTTAAGATTTAATGTTTGCAGACGATGCAAGCGATCCGTTGAGTCAGGTAGCTGCTTGATGGGAGTACCAGAGAAGTCGAGGTATTGTAGTGATTCCAACTTTCCAATTGAACCTGGAATCTCTTCTATATGAGTGCGACTCAAATCCAATGTTCTTAAGAATCTAAATCCCAGAAAGATGTCATGGGGCAGTATCGTTATCAAATCAGAACAACCTTCATTCACCACAAGCGTATGCAATTGTTTGAAATTTTTCAAAACATCAAAAAAGGTTTGATCAATCTTCTTACACTGCCATGTTAGATGCAAGGCCTCTCTGCGGATCGTGCCCAACTCACATGCATTGATCCTCAAATAGTTACCCTGGTTAAGGAGCCCATCTGACACTTGAGAGGTATTGAATTTGTATTTCATCTCTCTATGAACTTTATCAAACTTTGAAGGTACAATGACTTTTTCACGGACCAACGCATCAAAGTACGAATAACCAACATTCTCCAGTCTTTCCGCCACTCGTAACTCAATGCAGTCTTCAGCAACCCACATCTGTACCAATTGATCCTTTCCAAATTCAGAATCTGGGAGAAACAGTTTGCAATGTTCAATGCACCGTTCAGGAACGGTGCGAGGAACTCCACTAGTAAGATCTTTTGAACTTTCCAGATGATATACTCTACCCTCATCCCCCATAGATATTTTAGATTTTTTCTTTAGAGGACGTGTTAGCTCTTTCTCTTCATCAAATAGATCTCTCTGCAATTAATCAATGATAATAGCATAAGTTAAGCAAACAAGGAGTTATAACATCATAAATACAAAAAGAACAATATATGAAAATCCCCTAAAAAATCATCGCTTCTTTTGATTGATTATATATATAGACACACATACACACAGATATATATACACACACACACACATGTTTGCCTTTTGACCGCCCACCTCTCGCCTTTTATAGTAAGAAATTCTCCAAAGCAAGTTTGGCATCTCATTGTTTAGGCATATTGCCTTTTGACCACCCACCTCTCGCCTTTCATAATAAGAAATTCTCCAAAGCAAGTATGGCATCTCATCGTTTAGGCATATTACTATTCCACATTTCACACTACATAACTTGATCTTCTCCAGCAGTTCAAAAATTTAGAGTCAGTCATCAAACATGCCACCAAAAAAATCATAAATGAACCAACTTCCCAGGCTAGCAGTAAATTGATTTTTTTTAAATATGATTTCTTTTGGAAGGAGAATAGATACCAGTTCTCTCTTGGAACTGAAGTAGGTCTCTCTCAAATCAACGCACTCACTGGAAATAGATGAACTCTTCACTGTGCATTCTCTGTATGGCCGATTCTGAACCTGTACACATCAGATCAAATAAGAACTTTTGGATGAACACTTGAGTTACAAAAAGAGTTTGAATGAATGAGAAGATGGATAGTTACTTTGACGAAGTCAGATTCATTGAGGCATTTCACCACTTCGATGGCTAAACCCTTGCACAACTTTGTCATTTTCTACTCTCGAGTGGTTGCTCCGGATTAAGGTTGTCCTTATGAATCTCAACTGTTGGACAAAGTGTCCTTTTGAGTCAGTCAAACTTACATAACATTCACCAAGAAGAGGCAAACAAACCATAGTCTACAAAAACATTACCCCAGTGCCTCAAAGGCTCTTGCCAATTGCAACTTAAGGGGGTCAGGTGTACACACCTTCACCCCCTAAGTTTAAAACATAGAGCGGCTAATTGTAGACCCATGATAAACATCGAAAGTTGCATAGAATATTGTTACTTCACTATTAAAAAAATCACATACAGATTAAAGAATCATTTTGCTTTATTCCATCATGCCTTGAAGCCATACAATAGTGAATCTTTGGCTCCATCAGACTATGATGAAAAACTACTATGGTCTACGTGGTAAAAAAGGGTAGGAGAAGGGGGACAAAATTCTTAGAGACCTTTTTTTATTACATTAAGAAATACAAACAGAAACAAAACTCGTTATGACTCCAACTCTACTGGAATCTAGGGATCAAGATATATGCAGTCTTATCGAGGAAAACAAAGATGTTTTTGTTAGACCTTAGATGCATTGTTGAATACTTGCATTGGTTCTCCTCGACTTCATGGAAAGTAAAAACAAAAATAAGTTTAACATGTCATTTTGATTCCCTCAACTATTTACCCAAAGCTAAAGCATTACTCTCAGCTAGGACGGAGCTCAGCAATGTACAGACTACAGAGACGCATTGCTTAGCCATTGTGTGCGAAGCTCAGCCCTGTTCGAGGAGGCATGTGCGAAGCTCAGCCCTATCTGCGGAGACATGCAGGAAACTCAACCTTGTGTATCATCCTCACCAACCATCCACCTACCGTATAGTCATCATGTGGAAGTCACAACAATGTAAGGGCAATAATAGTGTTGTCGTTGTATCATACAAACTCTGTGTATATGGTAGTTAGATGATTAAACCGGTGATACGAACTCTACCCTATAAATAGCCATCCTTTATATCAAAAGAGGACCCAAGCAAGCATTCGAGCACTAACAACTTGAGAACTCTCCTCTGAACTCTATATTTCTCACTATACTTTATACTTTCTGAGCTACGTCCCGTCATCATTGCAAAACTTCAACAACCAGGTGGTTTAAACTCTCATATTTATTATTATTGCAATATTTGATAACTGATGAGCAAATACATGTGCCTCTAGGAGTATATAATAGCAATAATTCAAAAATAATTCAAATTTTAAACTCTTGCTTCCGTATATTCTTATTGTTTATATTTCTTTTTCCTAAATCCTTGAACCAGCTAATTAATAAATAAAAAATGCTACATGCTTGACACGAAAATTCAAAAAGCACATCAAATGCATCCTTTCAAATTCAAATCAAAACTGTAGCAGCGATCCTATCTTGTTATTCAATTAAGAGATAATGAAATTAATTTTCTTGTTTAGGGCAAAATCAATTTAAGAATTTGCTGAGAATAACTTATAGAGAAGAAACCTTATTAGATTCAAAAAAAACTAGTTTCCGCCAGTTGTCGGTGTGAAGGATTCTCAGCGACTCTCCCGCCCGTCGATGAACAGTTTCCGGAGCGCAGTTTCCGAACCGACCGACTCCCTGTCTACTAAATCATGATATTCCTTTTCACCTTTTGTGTATCGCGTTATAGCCTGCCCACCCTCAACTGAGTCCTGCTAGGCGTACACCACTTGGTGTACCCCATTTGCACACGATATACTGCCCCTCACCATCCAACACCCCCCTTTGTTCTCTTCCAATCCAATTTCTTGTTCTTATCACTCCATCTCTCTTCTTTCTTGCCCTCACAGTTTTCTTTTTTTTTCAATTTCTTGCAGATTTGACTTATCCGACACTGCGAATTCTCTCAACCACCACAACTCGCTGCTGCTGTGTGTCTTCCCACCCGCCGCCACCGCTGCTGTGGGTCTTCCAACCCACAACCGTCACTGACCATCAACGAGACAACAACTCGACATTATTTGGGGTATGAAATTCACAAATTTTAATTTCTTCTCTTATTTTAATTATTGAATTCCAATTTTAGGGGCTTTTTAATTTTTAACTTTTAGGCCATTTTTATCATTAAAGTTTACAGAAAATCAGTGTCTGTGATAGTCTTGATGAATATTTTAATGACTTTTAATTTGGTCCATATTGTAGTTTATTAAATTCTCAGTCTCTAGATAGTTTTTAAGTTTTTTTAGTGGTGCAACCCTATAGAACAAATCTTGTTCAAGTAAGGTCACAGATAGTTTTTAAGTTGGATTTAAATGTTCATATGAAAAAATTCAGAAAAGAATTCCTATTGTAATTACTGTTTTTTTAAGACAAATCTTGTTCAAGTAAGGTCACAGATAATAAAAGAATTCTCTAGATACAAAGGTAGTTATTGTAATTACTGTTTTTTTGTCTATAGGAATTGAATGTATATAGGCTCAATAAAATAATGGTTGTATTTTAATTTTACTAGATCTGCAAGTTTTTATATAAAAAATAATTTACTATATCTTTTATGCACAAGTGCTTGATGTTTGTGTCTTGATTATTAGAAGTTAAGAGTGTAGGAATGCTTATGATGTAAGAAAAGCACAAATTCAAAAATCTGGATGTATATTGTTTGTATAATGTGATTTTTGTCTTCATTTAATATTGCAGTGCTAAGAAGCTCAAATTGAATGCACAAACAGTGGCTGTCTATGAGATGTATCTCATTGACAGTATGAAAGCGTGAAGCGACAATAAGATAGAGCGAGCATCCAACACAAGAAAACCAAATGCTGAGATTGTGTAATGCTCTTGATTTTTTTTTTGGAAACTCAAGTTTATTGAATTAACTTATGTTTTTAATGTTCGACTCATTTCCAGGCAGTAGAGCTGCGAGATGAAGGATCATTCTGCCTTATCACGCCTAGGAAGAATTGAGAAAAAGTCTTCAGTCTAGGTGCCAGATAACCAACAAGGGGCGTCCAGTTGGGCAAACGGAAATTAGCCAGCAATAATCAGACAAATTAAGGGGAGTCTTCTACCTGGTGATAGCTCATATATAGAAGCAACAGCATCCTAATGAAAATCAACTTGTATAGACTACAATTGCAAGCATTGTGATGCCAGGAGAGGCCAAGATTTATGTCAAAGGATAGACAGAACCAAGAATAACAAGTGTAACAGCTCTTTATGAACCAAAAATGGTTAAAAGAGGTAAAACAAAAGTTCTACTTGCAAAGATAATAGTAAGAAGACCGTAGTAGAGAAGGCAGTAGGAGATCCTCTTCAAAGATCCAAAAAGCCGGAGCAAAAAGATCTCAGAATTATCAAACCACATAAATTAAAGACTCTCATACTAATAAAAATGCAGATCAATCAGCACAGAGACTAAAATGAAACCTCATAGCAGAAAAGATGGATGAGATAAAAGTAATCTCAGTGTTATTCATATGGGCTCTTAGAGATTACTAATATGCTCAGCAATAACCAGAAGCAATCCAACATACAAAAAAGAACCAGAAGTTGTTTCAAAGCTCCCACCAGATTACCATTATTGCATAAACCCAGGCCCTCTCAATTAGATCAAACTTCACTCATAGGTCAAATTTGCTCTTAAATCCAAAAGTATTTTACTTCTTCTAGGATGTGAGCTGCCATTGAATTGCATACAGAGTTTCTCAAACTTCTTTTGATTTTTCTTCTTTCTTGCCTCTTTGATATTTTCATACTACATTTTTATTTTACTTCCTTTTTCTTGCAGCTTCGGGGAAAAATGATTTTATAAGCATATGGTACATAAATCCACTTAAACTCTTCTCTATTTAGAAGAGTGGGCAGGACATTTTGGAAGCAAAAAAGAAATGAAAAATTGGACACAGCAAAAGAACACCAGAAGGTCTGTGTTTAGGGCTTCAGATTTGACAGCTTCAATTACTATTTTGGTAAGATAATTATTTACTTTATATTTGAAAAACATAAAAAATTATAAAAATCAACAAATTATTGACATATAATGAAACAAACAATCTACTAACAATAAAATTCATGAATAAAATAAAGATTTATTGACTTTAAATAATGCACCATACACCGAATTAAAAATAAGAAGTAAATTACAACAAATTTATTGATAGAGTACATAAAATTTATCCATAAAATTCTTAATAACTTGTTTGCTATTTGTGGAGCTAAATGAGTGATGGTGGAGCCCTAAGAAACTACAAAAACTTGAGAAGAAAAAAATAAAAAGAATTGGAAAATGTTGAAAGAATTAGAGTGTTAAAAAGTCACTCATTAAGTGTATGAAACAACTGAAGCAAATCCAAAAAAAGAAAAACAAGGTGCATAGTTTGATAGTGCAAATTTTCTAGACAGCCCGCACTGATTTGATCATATCCGGAGATCCGACTGTTGGATTTTGCTGAAACTTTCATAGAGTGTTCCCAACACATAGGGCTTCAAATTGTCAAATTTTCACATCAATTGGAGTTACGAATCTTCTGTTATCGAAGTTACCATCTACATATTGTCGCTGTTTTTTTTATAGAAAATGCAACTCTGGTATTGTTGATGATCGGAGTACCAAATCTTGTCCGATCGTGCTGAAATTATGGGAGGAGTCTAAGGACTCGTGGAGCTTCAATCTGAACGGTGGAGATAGAATTCCAACGGTTCAATCTTGATTTATGAGCTTCGGATCAGCCTGCATATTTTAGTAGATCAAGGAGAATCTTTATTTGAAGGTGTATTGGAATCTACGTCCTTGAATAAGATCTTTGAGAAGGTGTAACAAGTCGTGGAGATAGACGCAAACCGAGTTTGTCGTCAAGTCATTCGTAAGTAGACAAATCAATACATTCGAAGGTTCTGTTGTGATTGATTGTGTAATTCTTACGATGATTTAGTGGAATGGCTATTACACGGACGTGGGCCTTGCAGACGTAGGAGAATTTGCTCTGAACTGCGTAAACAATTCTGGTGTCTTGCTTGCTGTTTTTACTTTATATTTTAGGTGTGTGCTTGTGACAAAGAAGATGTTATAGCACCATGTCAGTCATCTGTTACTGTGACAGTGCTGCAGCATATTCTCTACAAGATAGTTGATTGTTTTGTTTGCATAGCTTGTGTTTGGTGTTATCCGCTGTGCCACCCACGAACTTACACGTGCACCCCGTCGTTAGTCCCCCATAAAATGTGTGGCTATTATGCAACGCATAATAGCCACACATTTTGTGGGGGGCTTACGGCGGGGTTGGGGTGGGAACCATTAATTTTACGAACGAAGCACCGGAAGTGCTCCAAAATGACAATGGCACTAGAGTGTCATCATACTCCGGTGTCACTAGAACCCCTCCGATGTTTTAAAAATGTATTGCATTCCTTCGTGTTTCATTTTTTATTTAAGATAAATCTTCTGTGTCATCCTTATTTTATTTTCTCTGTATTCAGTATATTCTTCGTTAGAAGCTTACTATTTAATTTTTTTGAAAGTTATTCGTTCATAATTATTTTTTATTAATATCTTAAATTTTATATCATCTTTTAAATTTTAATATATTTCAATCTTAATTTAATAATAAATGCATTTATTAGTATTCAAAAAATATATGCATTTATTAGTATTCAAAAAATGAATGCATTTATTAGTATTCAAAAACATGAATGTGTTTATTGGCATTCAAAACTGAATTTGACTATAACCGACCAACTAGAATCTTAAACCAAATCTGAACCAAAAAATAAATAAATATCTGAACTTGACACGTACATTAAAATCAAACCTGAACCTAACCTAAATTGGGTCGGGTTTTGATATACTAAAATCCGACCAAACCCGGCTTGATCTGATTTGATCTAATTTTTTGAAGTTTTGATCTAATTTAATCTGATTAGATCTGATCTAATGTAATTGAACTTGATCTGATTAGATCTCATCTAGTCTGATCTGGTTTAATCTAATCTGATTAGATCTGGTCTTATATAAATTTAATTTAAATTAAAATTATTATTATAATAGTTATAATAATAGTAAAAATAATAACAGAAATATTAATAATAATAATAGTAATAATAGTAGAATTAATAATAATAATAATAATATTAATAACAATAATAGTAATAATAAGAAAAAATTAATAAGAATAGTAATAATAACAACAACAATAACAACAACAACAACAACAATAATAATAATAGTAATAGTAATAATAATAATAATAATAATAATAAAAGTAATCATAACTATAATAATAATAATAGAAATAGAAGTAGTTATAACAACAATAGTAATAATAATTTTAATCATAATAATATTATTATTAATAATAGTTGTAGTAATAGTAATAATAATAATAATAATAATAATAATAATAATAAAATTAATAATAATATTAATAGTAATAATAACAATAGTAATAATATTTTTAATAATAATCTATCTATTATATATACAAAAACACAATCAAAATTGAGAAAACTTCCATTCAATTTTTTCTCTAATCGGACGGTCCAATTTCATTTCCAAATTCTAATCCGACGGTCCAATTTCATTGCCAAATGTCGTCTGATATCCATGGCTATTCTGTTATGAAGGAAAATTGTGGTTTCAATCTATTGCGCCTCACGTAACTTCTCTTCCTTCTCTTTTCTAAACAACATTGCATTGCAGATCTTCATAATCAGTTCAATGTCCACGCAAATCTGCGCCTTCCCTCCTCATGCCTCCATCCTACCCCGCCCAATTTGTGGTCTATGGTAAGTCTAATTAATCTCTTTCTTCATATTCCAATTTGATTTTGGTTTATCGTTTACATATATGTATGTGTTTGAGCCTTTGAGGGTATGGTTGCTTTTGAAATGAAATTATGCAACCACAAAACCATCTTCATTGCACAGATCACAAATGGATTTTTTTAATAGTTACAGAGTAATATGAAAAACACAATAAAAATTGAGAAAATTTGAATACAATTTTTGCTCTAATCGAACGGTCCAATTTCATTTCCAAATTCTAATCCAACGGTCAAATTTCATTTCCAAACGTTGTCCGATATCCATGGATGTTCTGTTACAAAGGAAAATTGCGATTTTGATCTTCCGCGCCTCACCTAACATCTCTTCCATCTCTTTTCTAAACGACATTGCATTGCAGATCTTCATAATCTGTTCAATATCCACGTAGATCTGCGCCCTCCCTCCTCATGACTCAATCCTACGCTGCCCAATTCGTGGTCTATGGTAAGTCTAGTTCATCTCTTTCTTCATATTCCAATTTGATTTTGGTTTATCGTTTACATAGATGTGTGGGTTTGAGGGTATGGTTGCTTTTGAAATGAAATTATGCAACCACAACACCATCTTCATTGCATAGATCACAGATGGATTTTTTTTGAATAGTTACAGAGTAATATGAAAAACACAATCAAAACTGAGAAAACTTCCATCCAATTTTCTCTTTGAATTGACGGTCCAATTTCATTTCTAAATTCTAATCTGACGGGCCAATTTGAATTCAAAATATTGTCCGATATCCATGGCTATTCTGTTACAAAGGAAAATTGCGATTTCGATCTTCTGCGCCTCACCTAACATCTCTTCCTTCTCTTTTCTAAACACCATTGCATTGCTGATCTTCATAATCTGTTCAATATCCATTTAGATTTGCGCCCTCCCTCCTCATGCCTCCATCCTACGCTGCCCATTCGTGGTCTATGGTAAGTCGAATTCATCTCTTTCTTCATATTCCAATTTGATTTTGGTTTATCGTTTACATAGATGTGTGGGTTTGAGGGTATGGTTGCTTTTGAAATGAAATTATGCAACCACAACACCATCTTCATTGCAAAGATCATAGATGGATATCGGACAGTCCAATTTCATTTTCAAATTCTAATCCGACACTCCAATTTCATTTCCTAATTAAATGTCGTCCGATATCCATGGCTATTGTGTTACGAAGAAAAATTGCGGTTTCGATCTTCTGTGCCTCACCTAACATCTCTTCCTTCTCTTGTTTAAAGTGTCCAGAATTATAATAATATAAAATTTACGTTTTATAAATATAATTATTATATTTATAATAATTAACTTTCATTTTTAAAGTGTCCGAAATTATACTAGTAAGAAAGGTAAGTTATAAAAAATATTTATAAAATAGGCAAAAATTATTTATAAAAATTATTTATAAAATTTAATACATGCCAATCAATGCTATAAAAAATGTGGGTATGATTATTCTTACCATAATAATCTAATTTTATGATTACCGTGTGGCTACGTTATATAAAAAACGTGTCTATGATTATAATATAATATAATTATGGTAATAATAATTATACACACAGTTTCGAGAAAAAAATAATATGGTAAAACCATTTAAATATATATTTATATCTATACTATATTTAAAATGAGAGGAATTCTTGCTTTTGTTTTCTCGCCCATACGTGTATGCACAAATAGTAAGTGTTAAATATTGAATTGGTAATTTGTGATGTGATAGTGTTAAAGATGGATGGTAATTAAAACACAGTACTATTTATGTGTGTGTGTGTGTGTGTGTGTGTGTGTGTGTGTGTGTGTGTATATATATATATATATATATATATATATATATATATATATATATATATATATATATATATGGGCCGGTTCCTGTAAGAATGCACTGAAAGGTAACCATGCAAGGATAGACAGCGGAATATAAAATTTTTAACATCCTAACATGATTATCTTGCCCAGAATCACGTACTAAAACTTATAGTGAGTAAGAAATTTATACCTTTCTCCGTAAGCGGTAAAAACGAAGAAGTCGTAGAAAGAGCGTTGAAAGTGCAAACGTAACCGTTCAAGCGTCCGGTCTCCAACTTTGACACACGAACAATGCGGGAGTCTACCACAATCTTTATGCTAGTAAAGATTATAGTAGTATAAAATATAAAGATTAAAATTTGGGATAATAATAATCTTGTATATTTCTTATAGAAAATATTTCTAATAATATTTAGAAAATATTATAGATATTTTCTATACACAAAATGATATTAATGGAACACAAAATAAATTTTCTCTCACTAGAAAATTATGGCCGAAAACCACACTTGCATATGCAAAGATGATAATCTTCTCATATATCAATTTTTTTTAAAGTGCCGTGCAATCAATACAAAGAAGAAAAAAAATTCCAAAGTGATTATGAATTTGACTTTGTCATTAACAAAATGACAAAATAGTTAGCTCCACTCAATTATCAATCAAGGAAATTTTTGTTCCTTTAAAAGATATCATGGCCGAACAATTGATTTGAAAAAGTGAGAAGGATTCTTGAAATTCTTCTGGTGAATTTACAAGTTTCACATAAAATAAACTGTGGTTTTTAATTATATTTTAATTAAAATTTAGTTTATTTTTAACCAATATCATTTTTAAACAAGTATACAAATATACTTTAAATAGTTTATGTCAAAATAATTATTTTCATAATTAAAATGACAAACCAAAATAAAATATTCAACATATAATATATATATATATATTTCGGCATTTATATATATAAATATATCACCGAATGTTTTACATATATATAATATTATATTCTAAAATATTTTATTTTACTATTTTACAAATATACAAATTACTTATTATCCCATTGTTTAATCCTACTCCTTAAATTGTCCAAAGTGTGTGACCCGTATAGGCACTTATAAAGCTGGACACAGTATTGGCTCTGCACCAATCCTATAAGCAATAAGCGGTATCTAGCAACACATTATTGCCCCCAGATTATAAGTTAAGACGTTTGCACCGTCAAAACCTTTCCACGACTAAGACTCCGTGTAACTGTATCCCTTTGTCTCAGTCTAAACTTAATGCAAGGGATTAATAAAATCCAACTTGCATCCATTAAGTCATTCACTGATTTATCAAATCTGACTAATAGGAACAGACGTCATAAAAGCATCTCAGCATGGCCATGCAATTTCCTTAGTCATAACTTATCAGTGGGCCCCATAAGACATTAATCTCTTTAAAAAGAGTAGTGACAAATCCTATGTACGTAATCTACGTTTCTGAATACGCGCTGCGGCATACCAAAAACAAAGCCTGTATACCATCCTTATTTCATATGGCTTAGGACAATGCATCAAAGCATGCGGGTTCACTTATGCAGAAAACGTAATACTTCAAGTCGAAGGATAGTTACACCCGTGGTCGCGCTAAAGATGCTTAGAGCATGAATTAAAAGTTCAAGCAACATCTTTAGGATGGGTCAGTCCGGCATCCTATTATCTTTAGATAATATCTGCCCATGTGCGGATGCGAACACACCGTCATTGACTATGAGACTAAGTCAAACATCCAACACACACTAGTCTCACATGCATTAACGATATCCAACTCTCGTTAATACTCGACTATGGACATTTAGATAAATATTTATTTCAAGATATTAGTCTCATCAGCAGAAGAACACTATCTGATAAACATCTTTTAAATATAAATCTAGGAATATAATATTTGTTTACATTAGCATGAGATGTGTAAACATATTATATCTGCCTATACATGATAGGATAACGATAAACAGTTGGCCATCAGGGCACAACTCCAACAATCTCCCACTTGCACTATGGCCAATCTGGCATCGGTCTAATGCCCATGGACCTAGTGTGACCCTCATGCTTTAGCTTTCCTAAAGGCTTGGTCAGGGGATCGGCTATGTTGTCGTCAGTATCTACTTTGCAAATCATCACATCTCCTCTGTCTACGATTTCTCGTATGATGTGATAGCGTCGTACAATATGTTTGGTTTTTTGGTGAGATCGCGGTTCCTTTGCCTGTGCAATGGCCCCAGTGTTGTCGCAAAACAACGAGATAGGGTCATTAATACTAGGAACCACTCCAAGTTCAGTAATGAACTTCTTGATCCAAACAGCTTCTTTAGCTGCCTCGGCAGCAACTATGTACTCAGCCTCTGTAGTCGAATCGGCGGTTGTATCCTCCTTGAAGCTCTTCCAGCTAAAAGCTCCGCCATTCAGGCAAAACAAATATCCTGCTTGTGATTTTGAATCGTCTCTGTCGGTTTGGAAGCTAGCATCAGTGTAACCGACCACCTTTAGCTCTTCCTCACCACCGTATACCAGGAATGCATCCTTAGTATTGCGAAGATACTTGAGGATGTTCTTGACCGCTGTCCAGTGTGCTTCTCCTGGACTTCCCTGGTATCTGCTGGTCACGCTTAAAGCGAATGAGACATCAGGTCTAGTACATATCATGGCGTACATGATGGATCCAATCGCAGAAGCGTATGGAACCTTCATCATGAGTTCCTTCTGCTCGGGAGTAGAAGGACTCTGGCTCTTGGAAAGAACCGTGCCAGGTGTCATAGGTAAAGATCCTTTCTTTGAGTTAGACATGCTAAATCGATCAAGGATTTTATCTATATATGTACTTTGATTCAGACCTATTAACTTTCTTGATCTATCTCGGTAGATTCTTATGCCAAGGACATAACTAGCATCCCCTAAGTCTTTCATGGAGAAGTTCTCGCTCAACCACGTCTTTACAGAAGTGAGAGCGGGAATATCGTTACCCATTAACAATATGTCATCGACATATAAGATTAGGAATACTATTACACTCCCACTGACCTTCTTGTATACACAAGATTCGTCAGAGTTCTTCTCGAA